GAGTGTCAAAATTACTATCTACTTTTGTTGGATGGTGCATTGTTTTAATACTTTTTGCAGTATCTCTTACTTCTCATCTATCGGGGCCTGATGGGCCCCCTCTAGCTCGGGTAACTCGGGGTTGCTAAGTCCGTACTGTAGCTACAAACACCGCTACAGCCCCTGAGGGCATACATGAACCAGTTTTGTATAACACGATAACAGTTAATGGGGGGACATGTTTAGTGTCTCCCCTGTGAGAGATTTTTTAGAATGATGACGATTCCTCGTGGAACTTTTCGAAACGCGCTGCGTTTAATTGAGGTATTACGACGAACACATGAATGCACTGAAATAATGCAGCCCAATGAATAATGCATCGAGACGATTTTACGTAAGGCGCTTTCACAAAATAAATTGGCGTAATCACTGCGTAAATCTCAGCCGAAATTCAAACGCGAACGGCGCGCGTTCGTTTTCGAAAGGGAAAGGTGAAAGATGAAAAATGATGGTGGATATAAATGATCCAAATGGAAAGCTTGATGAGCAGAATCGTGGTGAACATTCGAAGTTTAGTGAAATTAATTAATCGTTCGAGACTATAGAAGTTCTTTTAGGGGGCTCGAGAACTTTTCCAAAGGAGAAGGTCGAGAAAAATTCTGACTTTCACCTACTCTGAGGTATCGAGTACTTTCTACTCCATAGTCAAGCTTTCAAACTTTACGATGAAATTAGCAGGCAATTAAAGAAGGCTCTATTAATCTTATTGAGTTTATTTAGAAATTCTTAAAATCTTCATAGTCGAACCATTTTTCTACGCATCTGTCAGATATTTTTCTAAAAAGAGCTTTCCAAAAGTAAAATATCGCAGACTACTTGAAATCTTCACACGCGCTACTGGTTCTCGTACTTTCACCCCTCACTTTCTTTCATTTTTAATTCTTGCTTCCACGCATGCCTCAAAGGCATCCTCGCCCATCAAACTCGCCAACCTTCAAACCCATTTTTCATACACTTCGAGTCCACATCGAAATACAAAAAGTCACCTCAATGATGCAAGTTATCGACCCAGTTTACCACTCGATATCGCCACCATATTTTCATGATTTATTTCGTGTCTGGAAGCTTGCGTTGCCTGAAAGCAATGGAAGAAATCGAAGGAAACCGTGTGCACTCTCATTCAAGGTTCCCTCGATCTTGTCTTGGACGTTCTCTTCTGCTTAGTACGCGTCCTCACGTACCACTCGTTCGATCTTTTCCGCGAAACCAAAGACACGTTGCCTGACATAGAGAAGGAGACGCGTTCTATTCGGCGTACGTAAGTACCTACGTGCACTTACCAACCCACACACTCGACGTCGGCCCCCTGTACGTGGACGTCCACCATCGTCACGATGGAACGACAGCCAGGCAGATAGAGGCTCGTCCGTCCTCTACGTGCTCGGCTCGCTTCCGTCGATCCTTTTGGATCGCGAATATCGGAATTTACACAACGTTCCGTCGCGTCGACGAAGGTCGTAAAAATTACGGTTCGTCCCAATTCCCACGTTCCTCGAAATTAATATGATAACCCCGTGCCTCGCTAACTGGCCCACTAATAGCTCCATTGTCTGGCCAATTTTGTATTTTCTGAATCAGAAGAAACACTTAACGGTAGAGGTTTATTCGATCATTTGAACCAATCGATGCTTGGATGCTTTTTATTGTTAGTCTTTTTGTTGTCCTCTAATTAAATCTAAGAAAGAGTATTCCTTCTAACACGCGTCGTCGACTGGTCGCACGAAATTAATTAATTGGTTCACACGCGTCGACATCCGAGAGATTAATATTCAACGTAATGAATTTTCGACGCCCACGTGGCGACCCACGTCCAACGGCGATCCGCGAATAGATCGATCGACGATCGAGTAGCCCGGTGGTCGGATCGTATCCTCGGCCAGGGACTGGTGATCTTCGATAATTTATCGACATCGCGGACGTGGCTGGTTTTCAGTGACCGCGGTCGGTGTTTTGCCAGTGAAAGGGGAAATTCGTCGAGCCGTGCAGAAGGGAACACCCACGCGAATTCCTAGATCCACGGTTACGGTGGATCTCCGCGTGCTTGGGCGTTTGTTCACGCCAGACTTGCATTTTCTCTTGGAACGAAAGGAAAGCAACTTCGAAATTCACGTTCTAATTTAATACAACACTCATTTCAGTCAGGTATTTATAATAAATGTGCTTGCAGTCTTTAGGACAAATTTTTCATTTAATGTAATTAATGTATTGCGATTGTCTGAAATGTCCATGTCTACATTTGGTAGGTGGTACAGATACAGGTTCAAATATGCCTTTGAATTTTTTTAAAAAATTGGCACGAACTTTCTGGACGACCCAAAACATTCTCTATTTTTATATTATCCAGTTCCGAATTAATTGTTCTCTTTAAAGAAGAATATTTTTAAAAGAAGAACCATACTCTGCAAAGATCAGAGCTTCAATTGTCATTTCATTCTCTCTTTTATTTCCGCTCGAACGCTTCGCTTCAAACTCCATCGTCCATTTTCTACCCTATTCGAAGCTGTCCCCGTTCAATGGCATTTCAATCAGAAAACGTCGGAATAATAGAAATTTTATCTGATCGTGATTCCAATGCTGACTCATATCGATTAAGACGGCTCGACAAAAGGAGCGTTCGAGCGCGTACGAGCTGCACAAAGGACGGCTCTCTCTCCCCGACGTGGAAGCCACCGCGACAGACGAATTAGAATATATATACGAGGTGTAACGAAAAAAAAAAGGCGAGCATGAAAGTCGCGGGCGTGGGAACGGAGGGCCCCGAGCGAGCCACCAATTAACACCAATTAGCGCTCATCTGCTCTAGGTAGTGGCAGAGCGACGAGAACCGACTTTACATTTAGCACGAGACGTCTGACTCGCCGCGGATTGGTCACAACGCGCTCTTTGTGCTGACAAGATCGGGGCTGGGGAATGTTGCGCTTCCGTGAAAGCTGAGGAAAAATGAAATCGGATCAACAACACTGATTCATAGACAACTCCATTTAGTAAACTTATCGAACCTTCAAATACGTTGCTGAAATCTATGACGTAGCATTTTTATTTTGTTTCATTTTTATTAACCGTCCAATCAAATATTTTTTTACGAGTAAATGCATGGAAGTAACTGAAAATCAACGACCACTCATTGTCAGTGCTAATCGTACCCTCCCAAAACAGGCGCAGCGCAAAAAACGCCAGTAACGGTAACGACGGCTTCCTATTTCGGAAGTGTCGCGCCATTTTAGGAAGCCATCTGTACGTAAGAAACGCTCGCCACGGCATTAGCCGCGTTACCTAAGCATTTGGGTTGCCCAGCGGGAGAAGAAACATTTTCGCTAATTCGAGATCGGCAGTTCAGTCACGAACGGGCAGTTAGCCGACGGTACACGACACCAAAAGCGGGAAACGAATCGATCAACTGGAAATAACCCGTTCCCACATATCTCGGCGCAGTCTGAAACCCCGTGAACCGCGCTCGGACTCGACGCACAAAAGAATCGACGAAACTGATGCACCCATTATCCGCCATTACGGTGCCCATCGTTCCAGATTTGCGGAGAAATATGAAAAAGAAATTATGGATACAACTGCAATTTAAAGCTGTATGTCTTCCACGTCTTAGAAAGAGGGATGCTGAGAAAAAGCAATGGGAATGCTGGTCAAAGAAAAATTAATTTGCCCAAGGTTCGATCGCGCGAAACACCTGCGGTTTTAATTAAAAAATCGACAGGTCCACCCTGAGTTGGACGAAAGTCCCCCATCTCATTGTTTACTGTCCGAGGATCTCCAAGTTCATTAAACCGAGCGCACACAGGCGCGGACACGCTCGTGGACTCCGATGCGCTGTGAATCTTTTTTTCGTTCGACGGACCGGTTCCATCAGGAACACTTCCAGCTTTCTGTCGTCGGTCGGGACTCCTGGACACCCCCTTTGGGGATTCGCTGCTGCTGCCGCTGCCCGAACGAACAGATAGCCGCTGTCTTCCGCGGGAGCGCGATTGGAATTTATTTATTGCATTAGCCGACCGTCACTCACGGACCTTGATTGGTGGTACCAATCAGGTCCGACGATGCGACGAGCTGGGGACGTATTCCCGATGCATGGACACACCAGGACGGTGAACGAAACCACCGACGACTCGGGGTTGTGTCCAATCCAGCATCATTTTCTCGAAAATCGATCTTCCTCAAACCTATTGGTGTTTTTAATTAATTCTCTGCAGAGTCAAGGGTAACACTATAGACAGTAGGGACTTACGACCATTTGTGGTGATGATAATATTATATTTAGAAATTGGAATAATTCTTTTTTTTTTAATTAATTCAAAATTGATCTTTCCTAAATCTAGGAACGTGGTTGATTTAGTGGTAGAAGATTTAGGCTGGTAGAAGAATGGTAATTTTATTCCGTCGCGTTACGCGGCAGCGTCAAGGGTCAGGAAATGCTGTATAAATTTGCAAAAGTCCATCTCGGAAGGCTCCACTTAGGGCCACGGCCGCTGAGGAATTATTCAAGCTGGGCAAGGGTTAATTGCTTGCTTCATCAAACCACCTCCCTGCCTCTTCCGAAGCAGTCCTAGACGCGTCGTGACGTCACCGTTCCGTATTCGATTCGCCTTTACCGGAACACGGTAATTCTAAGCCCAGACGTTGACAGAGAATAGTCCTAACGAAGGAAGCATTTGAAGTGCAGTCGTACTCGACTATAATGATCATCAGGAGAAAGGCAGAACTTGCAGAATTTCTTCGTTTTAATTAAATCTACCTTCTATCTTTTTAATTCTTTCATTCTTTACTTAATTACTCGGAACTTTCACTTTGATACTTCTGAAATTTCCTCACATTTATCTGAATTTTAGGGTAATCTTGTCTGCTAAGCTATGAACAAGGCAGTCTACCGTCCAACTGTTTCATAGAGTCTTTTTTAGAACTGCTCGTGACTGGAGAATCCTCCGTTTAATTATTGAACTTTGCTGTTGCAGAGGCAATTCACGCTGATCCTGCAAGCGAGAGACGAGGCGAGTGCAGGCGTGATCGAGGAAGCGAGTTACAGCGGCATTGTCCTGCCAGGACCCACGTGGCACACACTCAATCATCAAGGAAGAAACGCTCATCTGGCCTATCGCGTTCGGGTCCAGTGCGCGGATCATTACTACAACGCGACCTGCACGAAGTTCTGCAGGCCGAGGAACGACATATTCGGCCATTACACCTGCGACGAGAACGGGGACAAGGTGTGCATACAGGGATGGAAGGGCTCCGACTGCGAAACAGGTGAGTCGACTGTTCACCGTTCTTTTTAAATTTCGCTACTCCTTACAGAGAAGAATAATTAAACAATTCCACTTTCATTTTAAACTACATTCATTATAACTTTACTACATTTTACTTCACGTATTACGTTTACATTATAATTCGCGTGCAACGTTCCACAGAAATTAAGAGGCACGCGGATAGGCTACCTTGGTAGATAACGCGTCAGACATTTTAATGTTCCAAACGTTTCCGATGGAGAACGCTTTGCATTTTCCTTTGCGGAATTTCAGTAGAGCAAGTGTTTTTTGCCACCTGTTCCACATAGTTGCATATTCCAGTAGCAACTCGTGAACTGGATCCATATCAAGTAATACTTAATGGCATAATGCATAGAGAATCTACCGATGTTATCACAAACGTTTCCATCCTTGCGAGCGCTATATGAAAGTTGAGCAATTACCACTATTTCTAGAAAAATCTCTAATATACAGAACAACGATTTTGCTGATTTCTCTGAAATCTGAACAATTTCGCCAATTAAGAATTCAAGCAATCTTATTCAATTCTTACGGCACCTTTCCTCGAATAGTTTATTAAATTGCTAAGATCGCTGTCTTTCCCATCGGTGGAAGCAAACGATCCGAAGGATACGTTCGTCCTGGCAATTAAGCGGAACAACACACGATCGTAAGAGGGAACACGATTCTCCAGGAGTACCAACGACAAAAAAAAAACCGTTGCTCCAGGCCCGGGTGAACAAGCAGCAAACCGTTGCTTTTGTCGTTTCTCGCCATCTCGTTACGTATGCAACGAAGCGTCGCGCAAGGCGATATTGGCGACTAAACGATTCCCTGGCCTTTTTTTGCTCGGCCACCGTCCAGGGAATAATTAATCGATCCACGAAGCGTGAAATCTCGCGTCGCGCGTAATCGCACTCGCGCGACTCGCGACCGTTTCGCTGGCTTTTCTCACGGGCGGTTGGCTATTCCGAAGCTAACGAGCCGCCATTGGGAATCCCACGATTTTTAGACGCGACTGGTCATTTCACGGGCAAAAAGTATATTCGATTAATCAGCAACAAGTCGGGGAAAAAACGGTGCCAAGAAAAGGGAACGAAAAGAGACGAATCGCTAACGAGAAGTTCAAATCGAGATCGGAGAGACGCTGATCTTTAAGAGTGGATTTAATTGACGTCGGCTATTTTATTTCGGAAGTCCAATTAAAAGCGTTTTATTTTCGACAAGGAAATTTAGAGAGGAATATTAGAAGGGTACCATTATTGGGCCATGTCTTCGAAGTAATGCACACCTCCCTCAAACAATACCTCGTCCAAAATAGTAGTCATATTAGCACATGAACTATAAATGAGGTCTTAAATCAAGTGACCAAAACGGAGACCTCGTGGGCTCTAGGCGTCATTGCTCCGAATGAATACTACCGACTTCGCTGAACCCAGAGACATTTCGATGTGACTCAAAGGCAGTAAACTTTTCCCAGCATCTTTAACCACCGTTACGCTTGATTAATTGGACACGTAACTTCGCCGCCTCTGTGCAATGAATAAACGCGAGAAGTTGACGCGCGCGCTGACCACTTTTGCAGCGTTCGTATCTTCCGGCTGGTCGTCCGAAAAACAATTACGAGTCTCCCGACCATAAATGCCAGGACGTCGATCGAGGACACTTAAGGTTTCTCGTGAGTTGCGTCAGTCTGGAGGGAAAGCGAAAATTTGCTGGACGTTGTATGGCTCGGTGAGTTTAACCTTAGAAGACTTCTCGGGGTCTACGTTGACCCCGCGCGTTTCTAGATTATGTACAGCTTGCTTTCATACGTTAGTTCGATATTAATAACTGGCTTATAGGCATTTGAATAGACGTGTTATGTTGATAATTAGAGAAACAAGAAGTGCAAGTGTTAATTTATATAACGTCTTTATGTAGGCAACGAAGCATGGGGTTGCAACATGGTACAGGACTTTTCGATCTCCTCCTTCGTAAATAGGATTCTATGCAAGTTTATAGGGCTTGTATGAACATCCAAGAAATAATTTCATTTTGAGAAATAGAATAACATTCATAATTGGACCTGAGTCCTATGACTTCCCTGCTTCGGTATCAAGTGATGTAAACCACTTAGATTACAATGCTAGGATAGTTAAATGGCTTTATGCAACCCTGTCATTCATTCCTCCATGAATAACTCTTCCTCTGATCGGTGCCTCGGAGTTCCTATCGAATTTCTCGAGCTAACAAGGAAAGACAGAGTCTCGATGCGTGGATCGACGCAAAGAAGCGGCACTGCGAAACACACGAATTATCTCGAAGCGTGCCTCAATGAGCGGACGTTAGACGCATGTCGTACGATCGTATAAAGGTAAATAGCAGCATCACGCCAGATCCCCTCGCACAATGCTGGCCCGACTAATATGGCAGCTCTTTCTTCGCTGCTTAATCGTTACTTCCGCCTCCCCGTGTCCACGACTCACCCGACTCCGTAGCATGTTTTATCCCTCCTTTGCGGCGGGGATCGTTTTCGTGAGGGATCAGCCCAGATCGTTCCTGTTAGATCTACCTACTCCGGAGGTAAGGGAAATCTACTTTTTAATTTTGTTGTTACGGTAATGACGAAATTCCAAATATCGACGTTGGTATGGATACTTGGATACATTTCAGTCCTAATAAACATTAAGATCGATGGAAAGCAAGCCAAGATATCCATATTTTTCTAGAATTAATCTAGTGCATCTTCGAATGTCCAAGAATAATTATTATATATTATTTTCAATGTTTGACATAATTTACTCCATACGTCTATTACCAACTCACACCTTGTTCGTTAATGAGGCTCATTAAGTGCAGTTTACCTTGAGCAATTCTTTCAACAAATCAATTTATTCCCCGTTCCATGAACGTATCCTTAATCGATGTTTACGTTTCACAATCGAGAATTCTTTCCCATGGCTTCCTCCTTTTTTCTTCCCTCATCTCGCATGCATGTGTCGCGCGTAATCAGCTATTCGTTTATGCGCTGCTAGATCGAGCAAAGATACACAAAAAAGCGGTAGACAGCGGTTTTCGAAAGTCTTGAATCAATTTGAATAGCTTGAAAGCAAGTTGGAGAAAGTAGGACGAAGTGTTATAATTCTTTTCCGTGGAATGGTAATTAGCATTAGCGATGATTTCTAGTGAAACAAAGCTGCTTCGACTCCCTGTTCGTCGAGGAGAGTTATGATAAAGAGAATTCGTATTTGTCCGTCGGTAAAATCGACGATTCATCGTGATAGCAGCTCAAAGTATAGTGGATGGCGACGAGGACGCAGCCAGTTTCCCTTGACACTGTGAACTTTAAGATCCTCTTGCTTGCGTTAAAATACGAACTTGATCGTCGCGTATGAAAGTATCCTGTGACCCTTTACTGCAGTACTATTAATAGTTGTTAGTGTTCGCGTGATCAAATTATAAATTTATCTAAATTTTGCTTTTAGGGGTGCGACTCGAATTAGTTTCACTTTTTAAAAAAAGAGAAACTAGTTTATTTAAATCACAAAGTCTTCTAATGAAACAGAATAGTCTGAAACTGACTTTGAGCAAGCAGACCGCCCCAATTAAGGATCAGGGGTGATCGGAGTAGGGCCGTTCGCATAGAAAGTGTCTCCAAATGGAAAGAAAGAGGTCGTATCCCCTTGACACCAGAATATTCCGCGGCCGTTTGACGATGCAGATCATATTATCGTCTCGCAATTAGACACGTTCCACTTTCGGTGGAAGCCAAGGGAGGAAGAAGGACGAACGATCCCAATTAGGGACTATCGATGGAAATCGTGTACTCGTGAGACGATGAGCCTCTGGTCGGTTACGAGAAGGAGAGAACTGGCTCCGGCATTTTTGTCGCGCTGTGAAAGGTCAATACGAGAATTTCACTCGTGCATCGTCTTCACACGAGCTCTATGCACCAACCAGCATCGCGCAACACCGTTCGTGGAGAGAAGCGTCGTATCCTCGCTCGGACGTGGCACATGTTCGTTTGCATTTGACCCCTTTTCACCGTAAACCGCGATCGCAAAGCTCTCGACGCTTCTGGAAAAATCTACGACCCGCACGATTCTACTTACTGTTTCAAAAAATTAAATGGTCTCGACACGAGGCTGGGTTAATGGGAAATTAATATTAAACGGCTGGAGTAAATTGGATCAGATTTGTAAATTTCCCGGGGCTTTGTTCAATTCTTTTCTTTTAATGTAAAAGAGAGTAAAAAGTAAATAATGGAATAATTTCAGTTTAAAGCGAAGAAATGAGAATTAAAGATGATTTAAATAAGGAAAACGATTGCAAAGTGGAAAGAGGGTCAATCAGGTGAAACCGGTGAATTATTTTCGCTAATACAATATTAGCCGACTCCGCTTGCGAAGTCGGCGACTTACGGTACACAGCCTGTAAATCGTAAAATGTCGTAGTTAATAGCGCGAGATAAGTAAGCGGTCGCTTTTCCATGGAGAGATTATCGCTTCTGCCCGTGGCAAAGGTAAAGCGTTACACCGTGAAAGTCGTGAACCTTCACCTGTAATCCGATTCTTCTCGCGTTCGTTCTCCGTTCACCAGATCGGAGAATAAGAAAATAAAGAAAACCGCGCGGCGTACGAAGACGAATTGCGCGAGTTAATTTGCTCGCTGCTGCTGAGAATTGACAAAAAACTCATAGACGTGTAACTGTAGACCCAGAAGGATGGATTTATAGATCCTGAACAAGGAGAAAACGGTACTGTGTACTGGGTGTTGATAAAACGGGGGATTTTCTGTTCGAAATATTGCACTTCCTCGATTGAGTCACGATGGACGCTCTCCAGCGACTGCAAAGATAGGCATCCTCTAGATAAGAATATTGTGTAAATAAAAAATCGAGTAAAAATACCTCATCGGTTTGAATAATCCACAGTTATCTTTATCCTACGAATAATAACGACTGGTTAATTTTATTTGAGATCGTAGTGTAATTGATTCTAAGGAGTAAAACCAACTCTAGTATTTTTCTGAGAATGAAGAGCGAGGAAAGGCGTAAAAGATGTTTAATACCTTGGAATCCACTCGTTTCATTACATTTCAGAAACTATATGAAGACAATCCTCGTTAAGTCATTCAACTTTTAGTACCACCAATGTTCCCCATATCTGTTTAGAAAAAAAGTTACAATACCCGTCTTCAGTTTCTAGAATTCATCCTGGATAATAGATAAATTTGTCACTATTTTTGCCCATAAAATAGCCGTGTACGGATCCCATCGACGTTCCCAGCCAGCCCACACACTCGACTTATTCGATTTCACGCGTAGACAAGTACAATTAACGCTCTGCAGAGCCCCGATCGATCCCCTAGCATTGCAGTCGACTGGGGCAATCGACTTTCTCAAATCGAGCATGAATCCTCAGTAATGAATTTCTAATTTACACTAATTTTTGCAAGCACCTGTTGCGTTCTCAACGATGAAAAAGTTAAACAGCCAAAATAATACATGTTCTATAATTATATCATAGAATTTAACAATTACGGAATGTGTCGCCTCTAAACTTTCTAATTATCTTTTATTCGTTACTTGAAATTTCTATCTAGATAAGAATTCGACCCACGAGTCGCGGACATATCGTTATTTAGGGCCTCGAACATCACGTTGCAGTCGCATAAATATGCGCGAACGAGAATGCAGGACTATTAATCATTAAACATCCCGCGAGCGTCCTTCGTACACGCGTCCCCCTGTCGTCGTAGCTTAAAATATGCAACGGAGGCACTGCAAATATACGTATAGGCATGGCCAACTGGTTTAGGTTGAAAAATAGTTGGGACTCGGCCGTGTGTAAATACAGCCTGTCCTAGATTCGAATGGACAGATCGTGACAGCAGGTTTCAGGGATTTCTCAAAGGGGAAGGTCGATTGGGTCCAGACAACGAGCGTATCTCAATCCAGAATTTTAAAACAACGACTTCCACTGATGGTAATAATAATAATGCATAGTATTTTAACCCCGATGATTTATTAAATGAAAAGTTTAATTTGTTGGTAACTCGAAGCAATAGATACTCATTAACTTTCTCTTACACGTACGGGGAGTTTCTAAAAAATCGCGAGGCCTCTAACAAGTTACCCGAGCCGCTCTCCGTGAGGTCCCACATCAAAGAGCCTTGTCGACGCTCGGTAACTCGTATCTGTACCACTTTGTACGCGATCCTCCTCTTTCGCGTCTACGTCGCGGACGTAACGGTACGGAGTTCGCTGCGCCAGGTTTAAAAGTTTGAGGGATACGTGCACGCGTGTCGCGCGGCGTGAATTTTCGTTTCACGGTTAGAGGGATAATCCTTCTCTCTGTCACTTCTCATCCGTCTTTCTGTCCTCTTGGCTAATTGAGTTGCTCGGCCCCGGCCAGAAGAGATCCCCCAACGACGTCGCTGTCCTTTTTTTCGTTTTCTGGCCGACCCGTGGGGAACGAGAGCGTCGTTTCCAGAGATACGGTACCTCGGCAGCACAAAATTGGATTTCGTCATCCTGCCACCTGTAAGAGAAGACGTTGGGTACCTGTTGCCCCGCCTCCGTCGGAGGGAACAGCCTTCAGAGAGAGCCTCCAAGAGAAGGCGCGCACGAAACCTCCGCGATCGGTATAATCCTCCGTGGACGTGGAAAATAATCTGACACTCGCGCCTTCGCGGCCGTGGGTGAATTAATCGTTTGTGTTTTAACTTCCATTCACGGCTGCCTTTTGTGTCGTTCGCGCTTCACCTCGATTATTGTTCGACGGAGGAGGATTACGCGGCTGTGAAATCGTTTGAGTTATGCGCGATAGCTAGCTCTTCTTTCTTCGTTATTTGAAGTCTGGGAACGAGAGAATGGGATAGATGGGGGTTCTAGATAAATAATGGGGGCAAAGATCAAGCTGGAGGCTCGAGTTTATCAAGACTTAAATCTCTATTGAAGGGCAGAACTGGTAATCGTCTAGATTTTCTAGCTGAATTTATCAGGAAATCTATTTGGTAGATAGGTTTCCTATCCACATTTTGTAATTAATTTATTCAAATTTGTAGTGTATTAGAAACCTAAGGGATGTATCGAATCCACGATAGGAATATCGGTATCCATTGCTCTTACTTAACTATACACGTGCTTTCAGCTGTCTGCAAGGAGGGCTGCCACCCCGTCCACGGGCACTGCAACGTCAGCGGCGAGTGCAAGTGTCGCCACGGCTGGCAAGGCGACCTCTGCGACCAGTGCACCCCGTACCCAGGTTGCAAGCACGGCTATTGCAACGGTTCGAGTTGGCACTGCATCTGCGATACGAACTGGGGCGGCATCCTCTGCGACCAGGACCTCAACTACTGCGGCACTCACGAGCCCTGCCAGAACGGCGGCACTTGTGAGAACACAGCTCCTGATCAGTACAAGTGCACGTGTCCCGAGGGATTCTCTGGACCAACTTGCGAGAAGGTGGACAACCCTTGTGCCTCCAATCCCTGTCTGAATGGGGCAACCTGCAGAGAACTGGGGGAGAGCGCTCATTGCGAGTGCGCCCCCGGCTTTTCCGGGCCCTATTGCGCAATGGACATCGACGAGTGCGCCTCGCAACCCTGCCAAAATGGCGGTACTTGCGTCGATGGAAAGAACGGATTCGTCTGCAACTGCCCAGCAGCTTGGCAGGGTCATCTCTGTCAGTTCGATGTCGACGAGTGCACCCTGAAGGAGTCCCCGTGTAAGAACTCGATGACCTGCGTAAATCTCGCCGGCGACTACAGGTGAGCTTTTATATTTACGTCGTACATTACATCGACGTCAGCGAGTAGATAAGACTTAAACATGCGTCAATTCCATCGCCATCCGAATGTTTCCGACCTTCGCGTTTCGCAACGAGTTGTCTCGACCGGTTTGCTTCAGAGTTTACGTTCAGGCCGTTAAAAGAAGTCGGTTATTAAGATATCCCATTAGTCCAGACTAAATTAGAACGTCTTTACCGCGGTGCCCGCAGTAACCAGTGGACGGAGTATGCAAAGCAACGTTCTTTAAACCGTTGATATTTCATCCGCACCACCTGAACTAATTGCCTCGTCGAAGTTATCGTTCGATTACCATGTGACGCAATCTTCTCGTGAGAATTTAGTATTGGGACCTCGTGCCTGGCCAGCTGGAGTCGAAACGTGTTTTAACTTTCAATAAGTACACATCACCTGGGGTTCAATTGAACCAGAAGCAATTCGCTCTACCAGCTTATTTGCACCAGACCTATTCTGAATGCAAGAGGTTTCTAAATCAACTTTGAGGTTTCTAAATCAGCTAATACTGTCGACAAGGGGGCTCTGAAATCGTTTCTCCTTTAGCGTGATTTATTTTAGGTGCAACAGGTTTGCATCTACTAAACGAAGTGAATCACTTCTGAGTTATACTGTGTTTAGAAAGGCTATTTTGATAAACTTTATCTTCGAACCTTCAATTTTCAGATGTCGCTGCAGAAGTGGCTTCACTGGAAAGAATTGCACCAAGAACATCAACGACTGTGTCGGCCAGTGCCAGCACGGCGCGCTCTGCATAGACCTGGTAGATGACTATCACTGCAGCTGCACCGCGGGGTACTCCGGCAAGGACTGCGACGTCGACATCGACGAGTGTGCCTCGAAGCCCTGTCAGAACGGCGGTGAATGCAGGGATCTGGTGAACGCTTACGAGTGCGTTTGCCCCGTTGGCTTCACCGGTTATCAGTGCGAGATCGACAGGGACCACTGTAGCCCGAATCCCTGCAGGAACTCCGCGCCCTGTTTCAATACTCAGACCGATTACTATTGTCACTGCCCTCAACAATGGCAGGGGAAGAATTGCTCCGAGCCCGCCTCTCACAACCCGCAGTTCGGCATCATGGACGAGGAAACTGGATGTGGTAGCGAAGGCACTCCTTGCGGCGGCAGGGGCAGATGCAGCGGGGGCAGATGCATCTGCGATCCTGGATACACGGGGATGCACTGTCACGAGAACATCAACGACTGTCGAGGCAATCCTTGTTTGAACGGAGGAACCTGCGTAGACCTGGTCAACTCCTTCCAGTGCATCTGCAGGGAGGGATGGAGTGGAGATTTGTGCGACCAGGGTAAATGTCTATTTTTAATGCACGTTGTCCTCTTCTTTGACGTTTTTCTGTTGTATGGGCATAATGAGGTTAATTACTGGTCCTTATTTCTTTGTATCCTCACTTTTACTACTTTTAGCTTTCTTCTACCAATAATTCTCAATATCCAATATAACCAATCCAGCCAGTCGAATGAAACTGAAACGACTAAAACTAGTGTCTCCTTTTCCAGACGTGGACGAGTGCATGGAGTCGCCCTGTCGCAACAACGGGACCTGCGTGGACGGCGTAGCAGACTTTACCTGCATCTGCAGAGGTGGTTGGAAGGGCAAGACGTGCACTCTGCGAGGTGGCCACTGCGAGCCAGGGACTTGTCGTCACGGAGGGACGTGCCAAGACCGCGGTGACGGATTCACCTGTCACTGTCCACCAGATTGGGAAGGTGCAGCGTGTCACATAGCTTCTCCAGCCTGTGCCAGCAATCCTTGCGAAAACGGAGCGACCTGCGTGAACACCGCCGATGGAAACTATCGATGCGTCTGTCGAGAAGGCTTCGAGGGACCAAACTGTCGTCGCGACGTCGACGACTGTCAGCCGTTGCCCTGTCTAAATGGTGGCAAGTGCGTAGATGGGATCAATTGGTTCAGGTGCGAGTGCGCGCCAGGTTTCACCGGGCCAGACTGTCGCATAAACGTAAACGAATGCGCCAGCGATCCCTGCACAGGTGGATCCACCTGCGTGGATGGCATAGCGAGCTACTCTTGCGTTTGTCCGCCAGGCAGAAGCGGGACGCGCTGCGAAATCCGCACGGCTGGTGGGCCTGGCTGCATGGTCGCCAGCTGGGACGACGACTGCAATATCTGCGAGTGTCGTAATGGAAAGAATCAATGCAGCAATATCTGGTGTGGTCCTGGGAACTGTCTGAACGGGACCTCGTGTCTGGCTCACGAAGTCTGCGTCCCCAGTCCAAGCGAGAGCTGTCTATTGCCGTCGTGTCCAGCTTGGGGAGAGTGTCGACCAGTGGAGACTGGCAGAAGGGTAGGACCTCCTGCTTTGCCTGCTCCGCCTTCCTGTTGGCCTGGACAAGCTACCACGGGACCAACCTGCTCTAGGCTCACCATCTTGTTAAGAAGAGACACTCTTGCACCGGGCACATCGGTAGAAATACTCTGTCGTCGTCTGAGGAAGCTTTTGGCTGATCCCAGAAGACCGCAGTCGATCGTTCTTCTCTGTGATCTGAAGCCAGGCGATAACGATACAGTGGAAGTGACAATTTTCTCTGAAGCTGCCGTAGACGCGGCCAGAGACCTCGGCGAGACTCTCAGTCGACCCCTGGGAAGACCTCTCGCCCTGGCCTCCGTGCTGGAGGTCAAGGTGGAGACGGCCTTGCTCAGCGAGCCGAGCTCAGGGAACGCCAGCAGCGCTGGCAGCTACGTGGCGGTGCTCGGAGGTGCCCTGGCCACAGTGCTCGTGTTGGCTCTCTTCGGGGGACTCTGGTACCTCCGATCGGTCAGGCAACGCTCGAGCATGACCGCGACGACCAGCAGCGAGACTTCGTTGCACAGACACCGTAGCGACTTGGACGAGAAATCCAACAACCTCCAGAACGAGGAGAACCTGAGGAGATACGCGAATCCGTTGAAGGACCAGGACCAAGGCGAGCCCAGAGTGTCCGTCGTGAGGCCTCTGTCGGGCACCTCTCTGGGCGCGCTGGCTGGAACCGAGGAAAGCCTGGAGATGGTCTCCGAAGAGGGTAGACACCGCCTGCCACCACTTTACAAGCCACCCAGCGCGGAAGCAAGAAACAACACCGCCAGTTTCAGCTACGAGGAAGGACCTCACAAGCCGTACAGCAAACCAAGACTACAGGAACCGTCGTACTCTCATCAGCAACCTGGCACCAGCCAAACATCAGGACCGCATCAAGTGTTGACTGTACACGTGTAACGCGAGAGGACTCGCGATTAAAAGCGTGTGAAACTAGAGCATTGAGGCGAAGAGAAGGCATCGAGTTAAGGACATTAAGATCGTCGTGAAATAAAGAACGTCCGAGATCTCGACGTTTAGAGATTCGTATCGGCACTGTGCGCGAGACCCTCAAGGCTACCGAGGTTTCTTTTCCCTGTGGAGGTCGTTCGAAGGCAGGGCTAGATACGTAGATAGGTAGATAGGGAGAGACAAGAACCGAGGCATTTTTTTTCTTCTCACCTCTCGTGAGGTTAAGACTTTAATCTCGATCGCAACGAACGCGAAAACGCGAGTACTTGCACGCGAGACTCCATGTTTGAGTCACGATCCTGCTGTCCTCTACCTTCGTCGGGCCTTCCCCCGCGATTCCACGATACACGACAATAATTGATCGACGATATATAATTATATTATTGACGACGCCGACGTTGTTTCATCGTTGTACATATGTACATAGCTCGTACTTATTAATTTCACTAAGCCTGTATCTCCCCTGGACGCGCCGTCGGCCCTGCAACTCTCTTAAAGTGTAACATTCGACGTTGTATCCGCGTTGATCGTAGATTGTCGCATTTCCTCCCCCATTTCCCCGTCGTCTGAAGCCCACTTGTCTGAACGACGTAGGCGTGCAGAGATGGCCAGGATTCTTAAATAGACACAAATTTCCAATAACGAATGAAGAATGCGTAACTGTTCATCCCTCGTTTTAATGAGTTAGGAGAAAGTTGTACGAATGAATGACACGCGATGGTTTCATTTGTTATCTGTTATTTGAAGAAAATTCTGTCCATCTCTGTGTAGCACTTAGGCGAACAATTCTGCGCGAACGCAGGCTTCGGACGCTCCGTCGGACGATACTATTGTGATACTCATAGAGAGAGGACATCGTGCGTAAGACTACTTCATTCTTATGCCACCTCCCACGCCCCCCTCAAACGTACATAGTTCCAGATCCAACCCTCGTCTAACGAGTTTCTCCCATGGATCCTCCTTACCTATGTTCTCCTCCTCTCCCTCCCTTTTAGATGTGCAATTTTACTTTTTTATTTCTTCTTCTCATAGTATCGTTCCAGCGTCGCGACGCGCGACGACCGAAATCGCGCGAACACTTAGACTTTAACGGAAGCGGAAGGGCGCATAACTCGCATTAGGCGGTACCCCGTAAGTTGTAACGGATGGAAGAAATTTTTATAACAGATACCTTTATTTTATAAAGAAAAATCTATATTATTATACAAATATATAGAAGCGATGAGAAAACAAAAAATATATATATATATAAATATATATATTATATTATTTTATATTATATTATATTATTTTTATTTTATTTTATTGTATTGTATTAATTATTGCGAGATCACGGACAATAGTTCTTCGATCGTTCCTCAATCTCCGAGCATCGATCCCGCGACCAGGTTCTACCCAAGCATTGGGCGAAATGTAAACCGCGATTGGAGGTGGGCAAATTTCATTTCGAATAACCAGAAAATATTCAAGTAAGATTATACTTGTTATTCGAGAGGCGAGCACGACGAATAATTTGTCAAGTTCGTCTTGCCACGTCTTATTTTTGTTCGTCGATTCACTCAAATGATTACTCGAGTAATGTCCAACTCTGCCCACGATTGAACTCGATAATCAATAATCGCGATTAATAATTAAGAAATAATCAATATCAGACACGATTAGTTACACATTTCAAAACCACTACTTCACGATTGCGGATTAGAAATGCGCATTGCCGACTAATCTAACAATCGTGGATGATCGTTGTTCAACCCTGCGATCCATCGAACGTCCATGTCTTAAAAATAAGAAATTCCTCGACAAAACTCCGACGAACTAATGTCCCTGGTCAAACGGTAGATAGCTAATGGATAATCCCTACGCGATGTGATCAGCCCCCGTTGTCAGATACAGAAGGAGGCGTGAGCGAGTGAGTGCGTGTAAATAATAAGCTCCTTCCAACCCCCAACCCCACTTTTTCTCGCCTAAAGTTACGAAGATGAAAATGTTTCAATAAAAAGTACAACCCTTCGAAAACGTCTTGGTTTTTTTACGTTTATTGCACCCGCGCTACCGAGCGAACGAATTCTCTCACGCGATGCTCGTGTCGACGAGGCCGCGCAGCTTGCATTCAAATCACCGTGGACGCAGAATCGTAGCCGTAAACGTGCCTTCCTGGTTCGGAACGCGTCGGGGAACGTTAAACACCGATTTCAGAGGTAAGAAGGTAAACGTTCCAAATTATGTCATGTAAACATTCTGGACCGATCGTTACAGCCACTCAAACGAGATCTACGATTGGACAGCGTAATAATCTACTATTGCAATCAATTTAATAAAATAAATGTTGAGATTTGACTATTAGCCTGGCTGTTAGTCTATGTATCTTTTCGACTCATTCTCCTCGAGTCTTCTCATCGAGTTCCATTTTGCTTCCAAAACTTGGGTCCACGACAGCATCCATCGACGTTTAAGCGTCGTAACAGCAATGATAGCGATAGTCATAGACATATTTCTTTTCCGTGTAGCGATTAGCTAGCAACCTTGATTCCTTGGCATCCCATTTACGCCGCGACGAGGCACACGGGTTCACACGGGCCTTATTCGGCCAATGGCATGGTTGACTCATTTACCGAGTATTCGTCAAGTGGCTCTTCTGGGCCATTGTATTGTAATTTCGACAGATCGTTCATTCAACGCTGGTGTACCGCGTCTCGTGGTCAAGATCGCCCGATGAACGCCGTTGTCTCGGCTACGAAATTGCCCACATCGGGGCCTTTGTTAATCTCAGACGCGCTTTCGATGATAATGAACAGCATTATCCTCAATGAAACGATCTATTGAAATCCGTGGCCACGGTTTGCCGTGGATTCACGAGGTCTGGAGTAATTAGGAAAGTCGAGGAGTTATTGCACTGAATCCATACATCGCAATACAATTATTTCTATTCTTCTTGACATTATTTTGCCTTACGTAAATCCTTAATTTTGATTTAGTTCGCGTTATTTGCGGCCCACTGACCCCCATCTAGCTGGGGTACCCCGGGGTTTCTAAAGCCCGTACTGTAGCTTCATATTCGCATGCTACATACAGCCCCTGAGGGCAATAATGAGTATGTTCTTTCATAATGCAACAAAACTTCCTTCAGTTTGCGACAGAATCACAAAGTCTGTTTTCTTTTTTTTTTTCTATGCATTTTCACTTAACATGTCAACTCCATTTTCTTCTCTCCTCGATCTTCAAGTCAACTATTTAATATCTTCAGACTCTCCACATCTTCGATTCATACTTGCAGTAACCATGGAAGGATACAATGCTGATAATACAATCATTTTATAACACATAAAAGTGGAAGCTCCTTCATTTGGAAACGTTTAAAGAAAGATATAAAGAATTGTAGGTTACCTAGAACGCAAAAATGGACCCTTTGGAGGTGATGCTAGTATTCATTTAACGTTAATTTTTTTTAATTTTATTTGACTCTGAATTCATATTTTAGAATGTGGATGACATCGACAATGTCACGGAGGTGTCCGATTATTCCGATTACAAAGCATGGCCCGTCTATTCCGAAGAGGAAGAGCCGGAAGCGTTGGACGACGTCGCGGATGAGATCGAGAAGCAGAAAGAAATGGACAAAGAATCGGAAAAGATTGATATATTCGAGATTGTGACGATGCAGATTCGAGACAAAAAGGCGGAAAGAATCGCTGCTGAGGCCGAAGAAACGAAGGAGAAACTACGAGAACTAATTGGTGTAATACTACTTTAGCAATCTATTTTTATTGAATTAACACTAAACCTACCACGACCGGTCAAATAACCATTTTCAAATTTTTGTATACAGTTCTTATATCATTATTCAATTTACTTTCACGTAACATATTTCTGCAATTAATTGAAAAAAGTGTCTTTAAGACTTGTCATTTGTCCCATCACGATAGAAATAGTTACAAATTAATGTCGGTAGGTTTAGTGTTAAAAATGTCGCATTTAGAGTAGATGAAATCCTCTGTAAAAAATGCTCTTCGATATTCACGTTGAATTTGTAGATGAAAAAAGATAGGGGCGTGTCTGAAGAGACTCTGATCACACCAGAAGAGAAATCGCTTCGTTCCGTGACGTCGTCCACGGAAAGCTCTATCCATCCGTGCCTCGTGGACATAGATATCAGCGACTCTCAATTAAAATTACAAAATCTTTACACTATGTACCCGATACCAGACGATCCTGGCCTGGTACCAGCGTTCTGGAATATTCGGGAGAGTCCAACCAGTTACCCAGACGATGGCGTGGCGAAGTTAAATGATTTGATCAAGATGTCCAAGATGCAGCCTATAAAGTCTTTGGATGACATGCTGCTGTCCAGTGAAATCAATTTACAGTATTACGGAGTGGACCCAAGGATTATCAGGCCTCTTTGCGAAGCCCTTATGGAGAACACTACTGTGCAGACTATCAATCTTACAGTAAGACTATCAACCCTAACGTAAAGTCATTCGTAACTTTCAGACATTTTATTTTGGTGCTTTGTGTCCTCTGTGAAAATAATCTAAACGAGGAGGAATAGTGCACGCCACTAAATATGTTATGAAAAAAAATTCGTACTGACACATCACCATTATTTCAGGAGAACTGGTTATCAGAAGACGCATGCTATCACCTGAACGACCTGCTCTTAAGAAACAGCTTCGTGAACACTCTACTGCTATCAGGATGTCGAATCGGTGCGAAAGGCGTCGAGAGGCTTCAGGATGGAATTTCAAACAACACAACCTTGATCAGGCTAGACCTCTCCAATTGCAACATTGGTGCAGAAGGCCTCGATTACGTTGCAACATCAGTCTGCAACAGCAGCAGCCTCGAGAGCCTCTCCCTGAACTATAATCACTTGGACGAATTTTGCGTCGACGCTCTACAAAAGCTGGTCTCGTGTTCGGATACCCTGCAGCAATTGGAGCTGTCCTGGAACTCCTTGTACACCGCGGTGACCTGGAGGAAATTGAGCAAAGGGATCGAGAACAGCGTGGCTTTGGCCGATCTTGACTTATCCTGGAACGCATTGGGCAAAGAATGTGTTCCCTATCTTCGTCAACTATTGGTGCGTTCTCCAACACTGACGAAGTTGAATCTGAGTGGTAATTAAGTACTTCTTAGAGCTTTGGTGATTGCACTGATGAAAGAAACTTTGAATATCTAGACCTCGTGTACCTAAAACAGACCTTTCGAAGTATTTCTTCCGTCATTATTCCTAGGAAACCGATTTTACGATGAAGACGCTGTGGTCATCGCCAGAGGCCTGACGAGAAACAAAGTATTGGAAGAGTTGTATTTAGGAAACAACCCTTTGAAAGTGGACGGCGCGTTTGTTCTTGTTCGAGCAGTCACCCCGCAAAGGTCTCCTGAAAGTCAGTTACGCGTTCTGGACCTTACGAACATTTGGGCGAATAAAAGTATATTGAAAGAGCTGAATGCAATCGAAAATGGCAGACCTTGGTTGAAGGTCAAGCTGGGAGGAATACTCAGCAACTACGAGATCCGTGGTCCAGATGTGAAGGCTTTACTTTTTAGGAGAGCGAACTTTGAGGCGCTGAGACCGAAGAAGAAACGACGACGCAGAAACTTCGGCCACTTTGTGCTGTCGCTGGCTGATGATCTCATTTCGAGAGGTATGTGCGATTGTATGGTAAAAAGATGATATTGTTTACAAGCCACATTTTCACGTGAAACTTTATGAAAATATGTAGATGCTTGAAATAAATGATAAATTGCAAGGTTTTTCTCGACAGCGAAATTTATGGAATCAGTGAGCCGCTTCCGGTTGAAGCTCTCGAAGACTCTTGTAGATGCGATTATGAATGAATTTATTGGAGCAAGAAATACTGTGGACCAAGAATTATTAAAGGCAGTCTACTTGACACTATACCCTGATACGAAACTTCCACCAGAGAAACCAAAGAAGAAGAAGAAAGCTAAAGAGAAAGGGTTAAAGCGGAAGAAGAAGGTAAAGGATTCATGAAAAAATCATGAATAGGGAAAGATTAAGTTCCTATCATTTAATTAATATCATTGGATTAATTGAAACTGAAATGTTAAGAAATATCATGAATTTATTGTATCCTTATTATAATAATAATTCTTCAAGTGAAAAAAACAATAGTACCATAATTCTGTTTTATAAGATGTGAAAAATAAATAATGTAAAAAATGACGATACTAGGTAAAATATCAATTGTACAATTTAATGCATTTCTTAATATTAATCTAAATAAAATATCCTTGCAGAAATATCATCTACAATCCAGTTTATTCCTTCGACAAGGTTTTCTCCTGTAACTGCTGAACATTTATATATTTGCCAGTGATGGGTTTTAATGTTAGGTAGTTCCAAAACTTCTGCAATGTCTGATGCAGACATTGCTCCAGGTAAATCTTGCTTATTTGCAAATATTAGAAGACTGGCACCCTCCAACCTTTCCTCTTGCAGAAGTTTATACAATTCTATTTTACAGTCTTCCAATCTTCTTTTGTCTGCACTATCAATTACCCAAATAAGCCCATCCGTAGATTCAAAGTAATTTCTCCAGTAAGATCGCAATGATTTTTGACCACCCACATCCCATATATTGAGCTTGTATCCACGATGCTCCAAAGTTTTGATATTAAAACCTAGAGTTGGTGATATTGTGTCGATAGGTTCTCCACTCATCCTTTTCAAAACTGTCGTTTTACCAGCATTATCCAAACCTCTATAAAGACGTGCAATATTAACGAATAAATCAGAAAATAATATTATTTAATGTTAAATGATATTAATTAAAATGCAAATATGAATTTTAATAGAACAATCGATGAATTATTTTGTACTAAATTATACTTTCATTGTAAAATGTGTTATTTCGGTAAAAGTGACAGAACTCTTTTCTAACCTTAAAATTATTCAAAGACTGAAAAAAAGAATACGTACAGCATTAAAATGCGCATTTCTTTTTCTTTTTGTTTCAACTTTTTAAGCACTGTTAACAAGCCCATTTTATATTACATGAAAAATACTGCGGGTAATGATTTAAAATATCCGAATATCCAACGATCGAAAGCAAAACTCCCTCTACTTGTCAAACGAAGTTAACCTATATCAATCAACATTGACGTTAAACGCTAAAGTTTTTAGTGGTATATAATTAAATGGTACTAAGAAATTTAAAAAAAAATACACGTTTACAATGATAGAAGCAAATCTGCCACTTTATTAACAACATCTGGATGACAAAAAGCATTAACAATGTCTTCAGACAATGGTTCGCAAGAAGGAAACGTGTTCTGAGTGTTATTGTAAGATTCAGAAGAGTGTCCTTGTAATTCAGTAATATTTTCAGAAAATCTTTCTCTTTTAGTTTTCAAAAATTCCTCCAATTCTGTTGTTTTAAGTTCAGAAAGAAGCTTCACATAAGCTGGATATTGTGCTTGTAAATCTTCTGCTATCCATGTAGTATGCTTTGTTTTTTTACAAGACTGTTCCATACTTTCCACATTTTTACATTCGTTAAGAGCAACCCTGAGCTGTTCAAAAAATTAATATTAACTCGTGTCCACATCACTACAATATTTGTAGATATTTTTTAATAAATTACCAATTTCACATAATAAGATAAATTGCAGTGAGCATCATCAGATGTATTGTAGACATCTTTGCCAATTCTAGCTACTACTAATTTAACAATAGCTTCTTTAACTCGTGATATATTATCTGTTATTATTGGTAACCATGTGTTTACACTAATAGAAAAATTCAATGATTCTACGTAATGCCACCAACCAGCAGGTACTAGCAATACATCCCCTGGCTCAAGTGTTATCAGTTTTGGTGCTTGTTGCACTTTTAGTATCTCTACCTCATCTTCTTTGGAAGGAGAGAAGAAATTATATTTACTATATACAGTTGATTCCTCGTAAGGAATCCTTGTTGGATGTAAGAAATTACTTGAACTTGGAGGAAACAATAACCATTGTTTTCTAAAACAAGTTCTTTTGTTAAAACAAAAGATAACAAAATATTTATGAATATAAACGAAAAGTAAATAATTAACCTTCCATGAATCTGTGCTACCAAGTTGCAACCATAAGAATCTTGGTGACAATTTGTATGAGCACCTTTGTTTCCAATCCAAAGAGTAGATTCAGATCCACTCTTGTCAAATCCAAATCTTTTCCAACTCAGTGAATCTATTACCTCTGGATTATCTTTAAACCATTCATGCATATACTTATAATCAAAGTAGTACCACTTTTTATCATTTTCATTAAGATCTACATTCCTAATGAAGTCTGACAATGTCATCGAAATCATTGGACAATTCACCTCCCATTGGGGATACTAAAAGAAAAGTTCTGAAACTTGTTATGTTAATATTTATATTTGTGCATCAAAAAGCAGATACACATATAAAAACTAATAATAATTTACCTTCGATTTAGCATTATAACCGACTCGAAACGGTAACTTAGAATCTCCAAATTTTTTGGCAAGTTCTGACAAGTTCCAATTCAATAATTTCCAGGTATATGCACCTGTTGCATCCTGTAGCATTCGTTGAAATAATACCGGCTCTTTAAGATCGAAAATAGCTTGTTTTAACACTTCTTCAGACGGTGAATTAATTTCTGCCATTATAGTGTTTATTATTCATTAAAGGTGCGCAGAAAGTAAACTAGCGCCATCAAGGAAATGTAGGTGAACTACGAAACAATTTTTCGCGTTTTTCAGGCACAGTAATGAGGGAAACACATAATGATTACGCATTTCGTAATCAGGGGAAGTAAACCTATCGATCAATGAAGCGTTTTTTGTGGAAAACTTGCAAAAAAAATTCCTATATTCACGTACATAGAAACATGTCCGTGGTTTCAGCATGGTTCAGGACCGTACTAAGAGTATACAGCATCCGAGCTTACATACATATTGTTAAGAAACGTCATGTATATGTTAAGGTTGTTTATATTGCATTGCAATTAATTGATACAGAATAGTCTGTTACGATAATGTCAAAGAAGTAAATAATACAAAAATGATATGATAGTTATAATATGGTATGAGAATACCAAAGTACAAATTGTTACTTGTATAATAATTTAAAATCAACGCGTAGGAGATATTTTTGTAGCTGCATTTCGTGTGGAACAGTGTATTCTCGAAGCTTTGTACAATGCATAGGAACATTAATATTACATAAATTTCCCTGTTAGAAAGTTTATATCACTAAAAAATAAATTAAATACAATATTTTAATCGCCTTGCGAAATAGGGGATCCACGATCGCGTTTGGACCCTTTTCCTTTGCCTTTTGTCTTCGTTTCTCGTTTCCTACTTATCGAAGATGTCGACGTTGTAGATGTCGAGTCTGCTGGGCTCGAATGACTCGATCCTTCGCGATCCCAACGTGCCAAAACTTCTCTCAAATTTTGTCCATCTCCTTCTTCATAAGTATCTACATCTACATGAAGATTATCTTGACCAGTTTGCGTATTGTTACCTGTTTCCAAATTTGCTCTCATTTCCTTCCTTTGATCCTCTGTGTGTTGCGGGCATCTCATAGATCTTGTGCACAACTTTTTAGTGTGTTCTGATATCACTCCACAAATTTGAGTTAACAGAATCCGTTTGTCTTCTAAAGACATATTTTCATAATTTGAAGGAGAATTTTCATTGCTGCTATGGATGTGTTCATTTATACTGTCTCCATTTCTTTGATTATTCTTTTGTTGCTTTGTTCTCTTAATACCATTACGGTCTTTTCTGCGTTTACGTTTATCATTGTTTAAACTCCAATCAACATCATCATCATCGTCACTTATAACTCCACTGAAGTTGCTAAGATCTTTGGAGTTATTTGCAATACGTCTGGATGCAATTCTTGAACTGTTTCTCCCCATACCCATGCACTTTTCTAAATGAGTTGCAAAGCGACATGCTGCCACTCCTCTGTCGCAATTTGGACAATTACATTCTTGAGATTTTTTTACAGGGTGTTGCCCAAACACATCCAACCCTGGAGAATCTATGATGGATTTTACTGTTAGATTCCACAAATGTCTCGAATTCAACACACATACTCGCTTAGCACACACAACGTTCTCTCAAAATAATAAATAAACATAACCTGAGTAATATCATCTGGTTAGATGATATTTTTAAGAAAATTTACTTGCTTCACTCACCTACGATAGCGTAAGATTCGTCATCGGGTATACCCTCCTCGACATCTGAGCTACCAGTTTTTGTAGTTCGATGCACGTCAAAAACAAATCCCATTAAGACCTCATCGAGAAGGTCTTCGTAGATTTCTTTCGTGGCCGTTTCAACATTCTCGCTTTTGTTCATAAACTCCAGAAACCGTCTGTTTAATTCTTGAATTCTTTCCTCGGTAACAGACATTTGAAATGTTCGGCTACTCCAAGGACGGGAAAGTCTTCCTGTTTACTGTCCCGGAATGACAACTCTAATTCGTAACATGTATAGTCTTTGTCTTTTCGACAGAATCACACCGATAAAGTTTAGATACTTATGTTTAACCGTTTACTACACGTGTTTTCTCGACAATGAAACTTCTTTCCGATGCGTCAAGAGTTTACGAATACTGTTACTGAATAGCGATATCCGTACCATAACTTTTGACACTACGATGATAGACCGAAACATACGGAGCTACTCCCATCTGCATTATCCACGGATGATTAAATTCTTTTCTTTCTAAGAAAAATATTAAACTTCCGAGTATTGTTTTGATATTCCTACGTTAGAATATCGGGTAGATATTAGGAAATATTAATAATATAAGAGGATAAGTATAGCATATTCCAAAAGAATGTTAGAGGGACAAAATCAAAATAGGGAGTCTAAGAGTAGGTGAAATATATTGAATTCACGTTTCTACTTAGTGAAACTTTGGTAGGTAGTGCTAGTAGGTATCACAACTACATGCCTATCGCATCAGCAGCATCGCCGCTATAAATATTTCAGCGTCAGTGAGGCGATAGTGTCGCCATCAGACACAGATCAATTGAAACTTGAAGTCTATTGACTTACCGATTGCATTACTTTTAAAGCACCCTCTATGTTTAAGGATAGCAACTTTGGAAACCATATCGACTTATCGTTGTCGGTAACACGAAAAAAACTCGCCCCTTTGACTCTTTCATGGTTCTACCAACCATGAATAGAGAATAGTGATAGAATAGAGAAACATATTGTAAGAAAACAAATGAAAGAAACAACAAACACATTGTTGTGAATGAAAAAAATTAAATACTGTTTCGATTAAACTCTATATCAATGGAACTAGAGCGATTAACATTGTTTGTATTTTATTTTAACGGGAGATATCAAATTTCCAAATGGTATTCCGCCAGGTCTCTGATGAAATATAGGATATCAGATTAGGCTCTGAGAATAGATGGGATTTGGAAAATTTTAGTAAGGTACTAGGACAGTTATAACTTGGAAAACATTCTTAGTCCCATGTACTCTAGCGTGACGTTAAAATATTCAAAATTCCATCTGTGCTTACATCTTTGAAATGTTCCACCTTCCATCTATTTCAACATAAAGCTACAGACGAGATATAGAATTGACGTGTCAGCCAATGCTATTTTCTGTCATGCGATTTTGGAGCTTTAATAGAGTTATCAAAATTAAATTTCAGAATGAAGTTTAGAATACTTCAATTCCTGTGACGTTAAATTGTATCAGAAGAAAGGTTCATTCTGAACTTTGCCTGTTACTTTATCGATAAAATCTGCATCTAACTAAGTAGAATATTTAAAAGTTTTTTGGGAAACGTTTTAAAAGAATGGTGTACAAGTGATAAGTTCAATATATTTCATTGATATACTATAAATGTATTTTTAATAGCCTGTCTTTCCTCATTACTACTTAGAGAGACGTGAATAGATTTCGGTCCGCTTTCATGAGATTTATGACCTTCGATTTGGCAGACTACAGAAATATCCTTTCAAGTTATTGCCCCTTCTTTCTAGAACGAATAAAATCTTTTTTTAACCACTGCGCGCGCAATGAATGTATTGGATTTCGAATATTTCGATTTTCTCGCGAAAATAACAATAAATGTTTGTAATTAAAGGACCAAATTTAACTGCGAAGAACTGCGCAGAAGTCGAGGCCTTTTACTTGGCAGTTTATCAATTTCTACGAGTATGTTAAATTCCAATGGAAGGATACGCGATTGTCATACAGAAACATGTTGTTCGAAACAGATGTATGGCCAGTTAACGCTTTTGTAACAAAGACTTAGGGTTGGATCCAACCGTTGAACTGGAGAATTGCCAGTGTAATATGTGAAGTAATAGAAGTATAACCGAGGATCCAGTTTATTGTTAAATAAACAAAAGTGATGTCGAACATTTCGTTCCGTTTCTGTAAGGAAAAGACGTCATCGCCCGGTATTTCGAATAATAAGAAATCTGTTCACGTTATTGTAACGTTGATGTCAATGGTCGTGTTATCTTTTTATCGACTTCATTGCGTTGCTTTGCGTGGAATGAGACAAAAATAAAAACTAATAGCAGACCGCGACGATTTTTTTAAAGTCCCTGACCGATGATTCGCTCCGGCACCTTGACATCATTTTCCTACCCCAGAATTTACGGTGTGCCGCTTTTAACCCTACGAGAATTCCTGGATATTTGGTTGATCCCACGCTCGAGTGTGTTTCTTAAATGAGCTTTTCAACGGAAGCTCTAAGGTTAAAGAAGAATTGCTACTATATATTTATCGATAGCCTCGCAAAGAAAAACTTCACTAAGTTTACGAACGTTTCGAAGGGATATGGCATTCTTCGAGGTCTTGACGCAAGGACTCGGTAGAGGTCTTGGAAAACGGGGTAAACAAGGGACCGTGAATCGAAGGTGAGGATCGTGGGAGGGCGATGAAAGAGGGTGGCCGGTTTGCAACCTTAACACGATTCTATTTCTTTCGATGCATCAGACCGTGTGCTGAAAATGACGCAATTGAAACGGTGACTGTGGGTCTCTTCTCGGGGAGACACGACACACGTTAAAACGTCTTCCGTCGTACTTCGTGCCGTGTAAAAGAAAAAGACGCAGCGAGGTGGGGTAAAGGCGATCGTGGTAGAAGCCGAAGAAGAGTTCTGGCGAACGAGCAGAACCGTACGAACCTTCATCGCGACCACAGTAGCGGATCTCTTCCACCCTGGTGCACACGTTATCGTTACGACACGTACACGTACACACTCGTAGTACCAATTGTCGACGAGAATTCGAGTGAAGACACGTATAGCACCGAACGAACGAGCAAATTTTCAGCCGAGAAGAAGAACGAAGCGAGAGGAAAAATGGTTTACGAGAGCGACTTCTACACAACCCGACGACCCTATACGCGGCCCCTCGTCTCGTCCTACAGCGTCACGGTCAGTATAACAACGGAATTGCCGAAAGAGCGGGATGAAGTATGTCTTAATAATGTTTTTGCTGGATGGCACTAACGTCGAGTAAGAGCCCCGTGTGACACGGAAACACTTTAACTGAGCCAACCCTATTGTGATTTTATCCGATCCCGAATCAACGTTTCGTCCCCTCGACGATTTCTCCAGGATCATCTTCTCTTCTTAAACTTTGAGTGGAGTCAATCGAACACTCGTATCGGGAACCGTTAGAGATCTGTCAAACGGCGAAACGTTGAGTCTCGGATGATCGAAAGAATGACACGCCTTGATCACCCGTTCGTTCACGAAATCGATCAACGACAGGTACGACATCGACAACGACAACAGATGCGTCCGACCTAAACGGATCGTTGTTACTGTCGGCAGATCGAATTCGATGTACATCGAAGTCTCTACTTCCACACTGTATTCCGACCACTGTATTACTTGTTGCTACCACTGTTATCATTGTCTACCACTTTTTCCGACCTCGAAACGTGCACTCGGTGTCTCCCGGAAGTCAAACCGGAAATCCAATACGAATCAATCGTCGCACGACTGTCAACGATTTCACTGCAATCTACATTTCAGATAACGTGCCAGATTAACAGCACGAATCGAGTTGTACCTTTTTTTTTTTGTTTCTTTTTAGTGAAGATTTATACGCGTTGTTGCACGGTCACAACCTCCAGTTTACGGAATTAATTTGCACCTGCACCAAAACAAACTCTGTCACGAGTTCATCCGTCGAATTAAACGGACGGCAAGCCACCCGTTGAATGATTTGTTGTCACGATCATCCCCTCGCTGTGTCCGTCTTTGAACCTGTTTTGTATGCATACGTTGTACCCTGAAGTAACGGGGATTTTGGCAGCTGTGGGTCAGCTGCACGTTTTACGCACCCTTTCGTCTACGACTATTTAAATATCGAGTTATTTTGCGTACGAAACATTTTTGAGCCAATTTATTTTAAGCAAAGACACGAGCCGATCGAATATAAAAAACGTTACGAGTCTTAAGTTACAAAGTCCGTCTCTGTCGTCGAACGAAAATTTGAAAATTGATATAAATAGTGGTTTGAGAGAAGGGAATTGGAGGAAAGACTATTCATAGCATCGCAGCCATTTTCCGGGACTTCGTTGTGTTAAACTTAGATGCCGTACGACCCGGCGAATCTTGGATCTGTGAACAGGAAAATGTATTTGGCCGACATGTCTGCACACGCCGAAAATTGCATGATTGAACGGAGGGCGTGTATCCGAGAATGTAGGTAAACCAGCTGGCGATGAACTATTTCAAGAAACGTCGGATCGTTTCCAGCAACAAATCAAACGACGAAGCTTCTATCGCGACGCCCACCAGTTCGAAAGTTAACGGAAAACACGAAATGCTTTGCAGCATTTTTGATCGAGCCTCTCGTCCGAGAACGAAACGCCAAGTTTTGGCAGTGTTTCGTCCGTCAGCATTTGTTTTGACAACTCGGATAATCGCGCCGTTCCGGTGTCGATCGTGGATCAATGGTGCCGCTAAAAGCTGGCCCAAATACCTAACTCCCTGTCAGTGATTCTAACTATGCCCGGAAGATCTTCGTCGAGGTCTCTACCTTGAGCATGTCGACCGATTCCAATGACAGAGGATGGTGAATCGACACACGAGGGAGAAAACCTCTTTCAGAAAATAGTCGGCTGGTGTGTTATTAAGAAATTTCACGTCTTTCTTCGTTTCGGTAGAGGGGATCGGAACGTCGGGTGTTGCGTTACTCTGTCCTAATTTAGGCTCACGACGTAGCAGCGATGTTGACTCCCACCACGAGTGCTAGAATTCGTCACGGAAATTCATACGTGTGATTTCTGGTAGCCATATTTACGCTACCTAAACTCTATATCGCGAAAGTGCACGCTTCTCCTCGTTTCGTTCGTTTAAAGAATTGCATCGACGATGGCGGATTCCGTTCGAAACGATCTAGACTAACGCGATGTAACGCGAAATGTCTTTATTAAATATGCCTCATACGACAAAGGAGAGAGAGTTCTCGATTCTCAAGTTATAATTAGATCCCGACATACCGTAGTATGTTTGGCTGCTGCTGCTGCTGCGATTCGACCCACGCGATGGATCACCGAACAACCGCGTCCTTTGTGGTAATTTCACGGGAAAAGTTACGCGAGAGTCGCGAATGTTCCTCGTATTATTCGAAAGATTGACAAACTTAGAGAAGAAGACTCTCGTAACTTAAAGATACCGTAATATTTATAGAAGCCGCGTAGAAGAGGGTTGCCGTATATCCTTCGATCAACGATCAGGAATGTGCGGGGGCGTGTACGAAGACGCGGGTGTTGCGTTCTTCGTACACCATTCACGTTGGTTCCATCTATTTTTGCGTTCGCGGCAAGAGTCGTTGCAGACGAGAGAAGAGAGACAGAGCATCCATGGTTTCCTTGTACTTATCGTAAGCGCGATGGTAAATGCTCGAACTTTAAACAACCGAGATCAGAAGATAAAGGGGTCTTCTCCCTTCGCCGACGCGAAAAAGGAACATCTTTGGGAATTTTATACAGCGAAAGCACGAGACAGATTATCGTCAAATTTGGCACATGTTTTCGTTAGTCATCGAACATGATTTTAGAATTTTTGTAGCCAGATAAAACAAACGGAAAAGCCGCAGGGTGTTCGACAACGGTTGTCCGTAACTTAAAGGGCGATTTTGCTCGTCGAAGCACTTTACTTGAATTTCGTCTTATTCTGGCATGTAGAATCACCCCTCGAAGTTTCGAACATCTGTCGCCGAACGTTCCGTGTAACGGTAGGAGGATCGGTGTGGAAGTGAAGACGTCGAAAGGAAGAGAGATCCAGACGGAGGAGAGTTAAAAAAAAAAAACGCCCCAAACGGAATAAAATTTACAGAAGCAGGACTACTTCCCTTGGGAGAAGGTACCGTTTGTTCCACGGCCATCTTTGGTACCGGACCCGTTCACCGTTTGGGGTCGTAAGAAGCAGGATCCACAGAAGGAATTTTACCAATATGTCACCCTAAAGGACAAGGAGGGCGTGGTGCGTGGAAAGAATGCCGCGAAAGAGGAACATAAACGACAGCTGGTGGACGGCGGCGCCGTGTCAAAGGTCACTTTAGATGCGGCGACCGAGCTGGCGACCAGGGGTCACGTCTTCGAGAAGGGTGTGCTCGCCAGACATCTAGGTGCTGGAAGACGCGTCACCACTCCTGCCAGCGGTCGTACCAAGATATTAATGGCACTCCAAACGCCATCTTGGTACCGATTCTAAGGTCGACTCGCAAACAAACGAACGATACGTCTGTCGGTGGATTCCGTTTTGTGGAAGAAAAAGGTTTAAGAGCTCGGCTGGGAGATATTTTTATACCTTGCTTGGTAGATTGTAGTTGGCTATCGAAACCACTTCAATTTCGAATACTGGAAATATACTTTGTCGTCAGGAAGACGTTAGCGTCGTTCTATCGAAAAACACAGCGTGCGTTACGTGCACTTTGGTCGGTCAAATATGGATTTTATTTCGGAATTTTTTCAAAGGGATGTCGGTACGGTTAAAACTGGAATTCCATAATCGATAGTGATTACAATAGCTCTGGAGTACGCTTTTAGCTTCGGGTGTTATCTTTTTATGTCGGACCTAATATGTACCTACATGTTCTTCTTTAGCATCCACTCGCGTGCAGAGACAACGTTTCTTATGTAATTACGAATAATTAAGGCAGACTGTCCCCTTAACCTGTAAATCAATCTTTAATTTCACCTGTACGCACGTAGGAGAAATAAAGTATTTCGATTTTAAGAAACGCTTTTACTTGACCCGTTCCTGAGAAAACGCGTCTAATCACACCTAGGCAACCTTGCCTTCCTATAAAGAAGGAAACGAACCGGTCGAGTATGTCGATACTATCGATACCGTGAAGTTTATATCCGGCAACGATAGCCGGAAGACGATGCTTACGCGAAGTTTAAAGACGGCGACGGTGAAATCGAAAGAGGCTCCGAGATAAAGCTTCTAACAATAAGACGAAAACTGACATCGAAACGAGACACCGAGCTGCACTCGTGCATACTCGAGCAAAGAACACGAACATAAACGTACACAGTTTCGCGTAACGTAATCCATGTGTTTCTTGGCAAGGGCGAGTTCAGTTGCTCAACGTAGCACTCCGAGTGTCCTGAATATCTCGGCAAGGAGACATTATTAATGCATACGTGTACCGCTCTACGTTTATAATTGGCCCGCACGTTGTGTGTCTACAGATAGAACGGATATTACCGCGAAACGCCTTATCGAACCTATTACTCTCTATCTTCCACGTTGTAACATGAATAAACCACTGACCGTTGTAATCTTCATTTAACTGTGCCTAACGTTGTCAGCCCCTTTCCAACTGTCCCTCGCTACGCTTCGTCTGGATTCCTCACAATTGCTTAGAAACGATGATCGAATCGCGTCTGAACGAAGGATCGTTTTAACGAGCATCCTACGAGGAGGTTTTGGCGAAACGAACCGGACGAAGCATCGCTTCACGCGTCGTAGTTTTCTTCCCGTTTCCATTGTTCCGTGACACACAACGTCCTCTTATCCAGCACACGTTATTCCGATACGGAGAACAGAGTCAAACCAGGTGATTGGAAACCCGAAACGAAAAGGAAAGTCAGCGTAAATAAATTCTTTCGCTTCTAAACGATTAAAACTCAGTGGTAGGCAGTGTCTAACAAGTCGTAGGTATTCATTGGTGACTTGTATCGAATATTCTCTACCTAACTCGATGCTTTCGGGTCATCTTCTGCGATGCAGGAGTTGATTGAGTTGAAAACATTTGACACAAAGTTTCGCCGATAAATTAAAATACGGCTTCTTAGATCACGAGCCATTGCGAATTTCCCTTGAATCGATACGTTGGTAGTCGCGAATGGCGTTCTGTTCTCCGGAAAAGCCTGTTCTCCACGTTGTTGACCTTGTGTAACCCGAATCTATAGACGCCTCGGCATTACGTGGTCCGTGACTATCCGGAAGTCGGCATGAGGGCTGCCCAAGAGCAGTACAGCTATGCCTACACCAACACCAGCTCGACGAGTTCCTCCTCCTCGGATCCGTACAGCCGTCCGCAGAGGTCTAGCTACAGCACAGAGAGCGTCGTCAAGAGGGAGAGCGGACCTTACGGATCGTACTCGACCGAGAGATCGTCTAGGACATCGTCCGGCGGCGGTCCTGGAAGCTATCATTCCTCTTACGAGTCCCATGCTTCCGGCCGTTTACCTGGTGGCACCACTTACCGCCATTTCTCCTACCGCGTCTAAAGCCTCGACCGACCCCGTGGCCCTCGATACTTTCGTTTCACCATTCTCGATGCGATGAAATTTCAATTTTTAAATATTCAAGCAAGAATTCGACCAACGCTTTCGCGAGCATCGAGTTTGGCGAAACGAATACGCCGCCTTCCTGTCACTCGTCGAACGCTTCCATTCGTTGTATCCTCGCGGACAGGAAGACGGCTCAGGTTTTTGTCATTTGTTATCCGAATTGCCGCTGTGCATCTGTAACACATATTGTAACGAACATGTATCCCGTAACTGCATTTAGACGTTTTGAAGCTAGGCTCGCTACGCGCTAGGTACCATCGAAGATGATGGCTCAGAGTTGGGCAGCGGTTACAAATCGAGTGAAAAGATAAACAACTCTTACGCAGAAGATAAAAAGATGCAAGTGCGGCTCTATGCGTTTTATAGATTTTTCTTTTAGATTTTCTTTGATGCATTCAACGTAGAACTTATTTTGTAATTCGTCTTTTTCCACTTATGGATTATACGTGTGGGAGTGTTTTCTTGCTTTCGCATAGCGGACCGAACCTTTTATATTCGCGCAACCATAGATTTCGTTTCTTTTACAGTGTGGAGCGTCGGTGTGAATATTAATTTAACCTCGAGAACGAGGTTCGTTATACATAATGTCGTCAACAAAAAAAGGAACCATAGTTTCTCACGCGACAGACAAGTATCGAGAGAACACGACCGCTTTCATGCCGGTACATGGACCTTTGTTCGCAATGGGAATAATGTGTACCAAACTAACCGTGACTAACCCATACTCATCGTCATCTCGTTAGACACACAACGCGACAATTGGCCAAACATGTTTGCTCGCGGATAATTTGAATCGTATTGCTTATATCTCTCGTCGAAGGTATACTTTTTCTCTTGGTTCGACACTCCTTTCTGTTTCGCATTGTTCTTAATCCCGACACATCGAGAGCACGGGTTCGATTCGATCGATGATCGCCATTTGACGACAGACACGTGCGTAAAAGGAAACAATAAGTAGATAATTAAATGAATAAATGAAGTAAAAAAATAAAAGAAAGTGCTGAAACATCTGTTTCTGTATTGGCAAAGTTACTAACCGGGTGTTGTTCTTCTTCTTTCTATTTATTCTGCTTCCCATGTGACTCCTCGTCCCCTGCCGCCGCCGGATTGCGCCCAATATCGTCGAAAATCGATTAAACGCACAAAAATATACGCCTACTGTAAATACAACCGAACCGGGACCCGCAGGACCGACCCATTGTTTTACCAATCTCTACTGTCCTCCAGGTAAGTAACATGGAATTTATGCTAGTAAACGAAAATGTAGCTCGCGAAGCCTTTAACCGCTAAACGCTAAATGCAATAAGTGCGATCGTGGATTTTGATAACGCCGCTGCGATAACCCAAGTAAAATTCTTTCTGGTTTTCGCAACGACCAGATCGAGCAGACGCCTTTTTGCTCGAGTCCATCAGCTTTCACCCGTTTCCTTTCCTCGAGCTGCATCGATTCGACAGGTTCAACGACCGCTTTTACGCGCATTCGATAACGCCGCTTTTCGACTCCCTCTGCCATCGTTAACTCTAGGAGACTTCTGGGTTAGATTACCAAGAGTTTCCGTATAGCTCACGTTAAGAATCAGAAAAAGAAATATAGACATTTCAAACTTGCCAGAAGTGATCCTGGGGTTAAAGATTCCTTTACTCATCGCTCGCTATTCATGCTCATCGAATCTTCCCCGACTAAATGTATTCATTCATCGCTTACTCATTTTCACGATCGCTGAATAAACAATTCGAGGATTGTCCTCGATGCAATCGCACGTTTCAACGCTTTCCTGCTTCCTACTTTTCGATGCCACTGGAAAGTTGATCATTGTCACGCTTCGGAATGATTGTCTACTGCTGCCAGATCCATTAGAGAACGATTGCACGATCGATTCGTTAGTTGATCATCGAAGAGAGAAAGCGAGACTGGCGCGCTACCGCAAGCTTAATAAGAAACACGCTTCTCCGATGCTAATTGCCGCTGACACCGCTGGGAACGTAACGATGATAGTCGATACTCGACGGATTAGTAAAGCATAGTATCGTGCCCTCCAGTTGAGGGGCATTCCTCACATGCCATACGTGGCACATAAAAGGCTCGTGACTGTAATCCACATGCCGTACCATACCGTGTACCACGGCGGAAGTCTGATACCGATAAGAGTTCATGCGCGCGTACGTCCCAGCGTCCTCGCAGCCGAACTCAACAGGATACGGCATCTGACGAGGCCCTCGACCGAATCCTACACGGAGAAGTATCTACAATCCAGGGATCGCATCGTAAGTCTGCCACGTCCCTCGTGGATTCTCTATCGAAGCGCGAAACAGATCCATAACTCGTCGCCATTACCATTGAGAGTCATCGAGTCATCATCCATGTCATCGACACGTCGCACCATCCATCATCTTCGTCGTCGCATCTACTCGTGATTTTTGCTCGTCTTCGACGGGCTGGTCATCCTCGTTCAGCGGGATCGCGTCGTCTTTTCGATATTAATACCGATTTAACCGAGTCGAATCGCACTCGATTCTCAGTTAACAGGAATAATCGAATAACAAGGAAACGTAGCGAATACTAATTCCTCTCGCAAGAGAGCGTCGGCTCGTTTACAATGTATATTTTACGTGTGTCTCTTCGCAGTACTTCGACGATGAGGCGAGGGAAATACGCGCGAGGGTGGACTCCCTTCTGAGACGAGTTCACGTCTTCGTCCCACGAGCCGTGGCAAGGTATCTAGAGAATCGACAAGTTATCTATTGGATCTAGCGAAGACATCGTGAACGTAACGCGAAATTTCAAACATGTTTGCAGCGACTTTCTGGAAGAAATAGTGCCGGAACGTATGCGTTGCGGAGACTACGTTCGCCGACTGATTTCCGGCAAGCAAAACGCGAAGAAAGACCCGGAACCGATTTCATGGTACGAGGTGCCCGAACGAGGTAACTTCGGTAACCTGGCGTGCGTCAAGTATGTCGCTGGCAGTCCACAGTCCGTGAGGAGACCCTACTTCAAGGTCGCCGATCTACGTCCATCGGACATCAAGAACGACGTTAACTTTTTGAGCTACTACAAAAAGAATCGTCAGGCGGCCGCCAACGCCTGTGAGTAGTTTCGTTACATCGACGCGACGCCAAACAAACAACCGATCAACGTACGCGACAGCAATCGAGAACGACTGCGACGATTACAACGACGACACTGAACGAAAAAACAAGTTTTTCCTTATATTTCGGTCGAGTCCCCGTGGCAAACGATACGAACGAACGATCCTCGCTCGTCCATTTATTTATTTAATTTTTTATGCGAACGAAAATCGACCGAATCCGAACACGAAACACGTAGTTAGAGGCACAGAGTAGAAGCGAACGATCGCGAGGAGGGTGTAATTACGAATAATCGTCGCGAAACGCTAGTTTCGTTTCCTCTTTTATTATTAACATCTCGAGAACAGTATTATTCGGCGTTAACCTTCCCCGCGCGTTACCAGTGAATATATATTTTGAAGCGAATTTTGGAAAATAAAAGCGGCCATGCGACGCCGTTGTGTGCACCTTTTTTCTATTGGTTTTTTCTTTCCCGCTCGTTTCTCTACTTTTTTCCTTCCCTACTTTTTTTGGATGAATGCCATTGATTCGCACTGTCTGACAAATTTTTTGGTTGTGCTGTGCTGGCTCTTATATTTTGATGTTTTTTTTTTTTTCATCCCACGTTCGTTTACACGGTCACCCCTTTATCCGTCTTTTTCTCCTTCGTTTCGTACCTGCCCATTTCTGTTATATATTGTGTCTAATTAAACACGTAGCGACGAAGGTGTGAGACAGTATGTCGGTTTTCCCTCCCCCGTCTAAACTGTGTCGAGCGGGTGTCTCGTTTCTTTTTCCATTTTCTATTTTGTTTCTTCGGAATTCTAATTGCGTGTTACACATACGGAGAAAAGAGCAATCGACGAGTATACAGCGTGAAACAGAAAACGGGAATGAGAGCAAGATTTTACACGATGGCAGACTCCAGTATAATGGCAGAACCAGATGACTGGGACACGTACACGCGGGTAAAAATGGCAGAAGAACCAGTTCGAGCTTTTTGAACGTTTCAGGCAAGGGGTGGAGAGATCGTGTTCCAGAGCTGTACGAGGATCCGACAAAACCCAAAAAGAAGGACGAGGAAGACATAGAGAACGACGAGCCCGCCGAGGAGTGACAACCGTCGCGTTGAATATTGTTTATTCTTAAATCTGTGACAAAAAAAAAAAGAAAACCAGCGACCACGTTTGAATACACGCGTACTCATGCACAGAAATAACTTACGATCTCGCTCTGAAGTAATTTAGCCTTCGAGATGTAGCTCGAGTACGTTTTTACGAAAGTTTTGTAAAAAGTGATTTTTGTTTTTTAGTATCGACAATCCCCTACAGAATCTTATCCCCGTAGCACTGGCTACGAAATAGCAATCGTTCGTACAGTTCCCCTTCGATCCAAAATCCGAATGGCGAACGCGAATTCGAATGAACAAGGAATTTTAGAACGAGTATTTTTCGAATAGAAATCCGCACGTATTCGTTGCATTAAACACTAACACAACATTCGCACCGTTACGTGTAGCGATCTTTAAAATTGTCCGTGCTTGCACAGAAAATGTCCGAATAAAATGATTGTACCCGATTAATTGTAAACAATACCGTCAATTATTTTCCTTGCACGAAAGTTGGAAAGTTAGAAGAGATGGCTAGCGAGCGAATGCGTTGTCCCGAGGTAAGCTTCTTTTACGTGCTTTATAATTTTATTCTAGCAAATTAGGTCGGCTGACGTTTTGTTTCTGAAGTGGCAAGTTGAGTGCTTTTCGGTTGCTGAGAAAACGAAACATTAACGTTAACGGCGGTAACAACAAACCTATGACGACGACAACGATATCGCAATTAAATTTTGCGTCGAAAGGGACGAAGGAGTAGCGCGCCAATTCGTCCTCGTTCTGCGTGCGAGCGATGTCTAATTATTCTCATGAAAACCACGTAACTTGTATTGTACGTACATTCACTTTCATCGCAGAGAACAGAAATGGTGAAAACACGTTGCTAAGTATACCGTGTGTGTGTTTTTAATTGACCATCACTCGAACACCGTGATTGTAGTCGGAGTCCAGACTCGTGTCATCAAAGCAAGACGAGAACAATGGATCTGGTTCATCGTTGATTCCATCGTTCCTAAAACTACTGCGCAATACCTATTAGTAACTGGAAATGTTACCGATTCCAGAAAAAATTTCATCGTCGATCGCCGATCGCGTTCGATGTTCCTCTAATATCCTAATTCATTCGTCGCACACCATCGTATGCTTAAATACTAATCACTCGTTCTTTTTTTTTTTATAGCTTTCTTGGTAACGTTTAAGTGCATAACCGATTAACACTAGTGCCTTGTTACAACACACTTTCCACGTCTATCACGGACTAACTTCGTAACTACGAATTTATTTGGCATGATCATTCCTGTTCATTTTAGAGACAGAAACGTCGCGACGTCGATCCTTTGTCGTTAACAGAATGCGTTTATGTTTCATGCATCCCGTAGTGCCAGAACTGCCGATGACGGAGCGAGAATTGCGGAAGGGTCTGTACAATTTGTTCGATACGTGTCTATACAGGGTGGGACACTTAAGGCAGACCTTGAAATCAATTGAATGAATTATTTAGGTAGTCTGTCCTAAGTGTTTCACGCTGTATATGCAGTGGGGGACAACATTAAGTGGAAGGGGAATAGAAATGACTATTATTCAAATTCAAATAAGCACTACGATAGTTTGAACCACGAATGCAATATTTGAGCTTGTTTATCCAGATTTGAATAATGGTTACCTATACACCTACCCATTCAATTTTGTCCTGGACTGTACCAACGTTGTCCAGTTACCTGTTCTCACGTAGCACAACAAATTTTAGCGCGAGCATTGCAACCCGATTTGGACGAGGCAGCGCTGAGAAAGGGTATGTTACGTTCCTTCACGTCCTAGCAAGTACATGTTATGTCCGAACGTGATTCCCGTATCGTTTCGTGTGTCTTGTAGCACCTAAGGTAGAAAAAGAACAGGAATCGAAGCCGGAAAAGAAACGCGAATCTAAGCGAGAAAAAGCGGAACCAGCGAAGGAACCGGAGCCTGCGAAAGAACCCGAACCTGCGCCAGAACCTGCGAAAGAACCCGAACCCAAACCTGCACCAGAGCCTATGAAGGAACCCGAGCCTCTACCAGAGCCAGTAAAAGAACCAGAGCCTGTGAAGAAATCAAAGCCCGTAAAAAAATCCAAACCGGCACCAGAACCCGTGAAGAAACTTGAGCCAGAGCCAGAACCTGTCAAGGAACCCGAACCAGTACCAGAACCCGTGAAAGAACCTGAACCAGTCCCAGAACCTGTAAAGGAACCCGAACCAGTCCCAGAACCCGTAAAAGAACCTGAACCGATCCCAGAACCCGCGAAGGAACCTGAACCAGTTCAAGAACCTGCTAAGGAACCGGAGCCAGAACCAGTGCAAGAGTCACAACCGGAAGTAGCTCAAGAAGCGGCGGCTGAACCAGAGCCGAAACAGGAAGAGAATTCCGAACCCGCTGCTGCGGCGGTGGAAGCTGTAAGTGAAACGGAAGGAGCAGATGATAAGAACGGTATGTGTTACCTTGAGATAAAAATTGAATGGGAATCTATACTTAAGGGAAACATGCAAAAATGGGCGAGTATCTATGAAATGTGACCGTTGTCAATGTTCCCGAAAGAAACCTGTCCTTTGTACGTTATTGCATTATGTAAAATTTGTTCTTTTGTTCGTTACTATCGATGTCCGTAAGAAAGTCCTGTCATGAAATTTGTTTCTTATTGCATGAAATGTAGCATCTTGTTACCTATACGAAATCTTCTTCAATTTTGAAAAAATCTATTCTAGTCAATTCGCGAAAATAGTCGTAAACCCTGTGCACTATACACGACGAAAATTTCTCAACGTTCAACGATACAAATTATGCTCGAGCGTTCAACGAGGGTTAAATTTAACGGATAAATTCTTATTTCAGTGAAGCAAGACAAGGAGGAGGCGGTAAAAAGGATAGAGCAATATCTCATTAAAGCTGCCGAAGAGGCGAGGTACGTACAGTCTATTGAAATTGGCGGTGATAGCGAGATGTTACACAACGAATAGATGCTTGAAAATAATTGCATCGACATAGTTGCCGGTCGCTCACTGAACGGCTGACGCCATAACATTGAACTCGGCCAGGTAACCTGCTAACTGACTCGATATAGTAGCCAAAATTTGCATGTTCACTGATCTCGAAACGTTTTGGAACTAATAGGGCACTGTATCTCGGACACTAACATAACAATCTAATATCGCGAACAGCCTAGTTCCTATGTATGACAGTCGACTCATTTCTTCACGCTAGAACTGTGTCACAGTGAACTTCTTCGAAGAATATAACAATTCCGTGCATGTACTCGCGTCGATCAAGTTCTAACGGAGAGTGATCGGCAACGACGCAGACGAATCATTACATCTCGCGATCGTTTCATCATAGGACCGACGAGGAGAGGAAGCAGGCCGCCGAAGAAGAAAGAGTAAAGCTCGAATTAGAGGAGTTGAAGGCGTGGGAAGCACTGCAGGTGGCGCAGGAACGAGCAGAGCATATCGATGAAATACTTGAGCAGGAGAAAGCCGAATCCGAGAGGCAAGCCGAGGAGCAGAAGGTGGAAGCCGATCGGTTGGAAACCGAGAGAGTACTAGAAGCGGAAAGGTAATTTGCGCGCCGGCTGCTGTATGACCGACGATAAGAAGTCACAGGTGTTTGGAGTGCGGATCACACGCGATGAAATATCGATTTTCTGTATCCAGGCAGCTAGAGGAAACACGTGTAGCGGCCTTATTGGAGGAGCAAGAAAGGATGGTGATCGAGGAACACCTGGAGGAAGTTCGTCAACAAGAGGAGAAAGAAGAGAGGCTAGCGGACGTTACGTTTGACGACGTGGACGAAGCGAAAGACCTCAATTCCCGCGACGATGTGTGCGAAGTCACGGATCAAGACAAGGAGGAGAGACCCTACGAGTTGATAGTGGATGATGAGACGAGGGTAAGCGTCTTCGAAAGATTAGCGACTACGTTGGCTTCTCTTTTGCTTCGCTTATAACTCAAGACAGGTTCGTTAGAAGATAATAAAATTTGGTATGCTTTCCGTAAAGGTCGAGGAGGAAGTCGCGCAAGACGAAGATTACGAGACGCACGACGCCCCCTTCGTCGAAGAACCTGAAGGAGCCGAGGGCAAACCCCATTCAGGCGAGACAGCTATCGAAGAAACGACGAGAATCGAGGAAGTCACTTTTGGTGGGGAAGAGAGTTTCGAATGGGGCGATCAAGACGCGTAACCCTTTCATGAAATTACGGTTCTCTCTGTGTAATCGTTACGCTATATAATTATCGTTGTTAATAGCGTCGCATCTCATTAAATCGCGTGTAAAAGGAAGATGAATACTTGCCAATTATGGTACGAGTCTCGTTGAATGTCGTTTAATTTGAATCGCTTCGAATCTTTCTCTCTTTAACCTCGAGTCATCGCGCATCTATTTATTTCATCGTTAACACCCATCTACGCACAAGATTCGCTATCGGTAAGTGGCAACCAGTTGATCGAGGCTGAACATCGATTTCCATCGGTTTGCCGCTGACGATGCTTTCGAGTCTTCCGAGTACCGAGTTAGGGTACGAACTACGTATCATCCTTATCCTACTTATCTGACATCGCATTAATCTTTAAGCTACCCGCGTATCTTATTCGAGAAATTGTTACAAACTACGCGAGTGACGCGTCAGAAATTTGAAAAATAAAAAGACAGTCTCTTCGAGACGCGTAGATTTTTAAATGAATTTTTATCAGATCGTCGCGTTTATTCTATTTCTTTTGATAAATTTATTTATTTCATACCGCACCGTTTCCGACGCGATAAAAAGAGGCTTTCCTTAGTATTACGTAACCATTCGATATTCTTCGTTGGAAAGCAAGCAAAATATTAATAATTTTATAGCGATCGCGTTAGAAACGGCAAGATAAAAGGAAAATTAGGTACACGTATGCGCAAAGTTTGTAAGGTAGTTTTCCTATGTTAGCAGAAATATATATCTTCGACGAAGATAATAATATATTAATATATATTAATTATGTATTACGATGTTCCTACGTTTAATTCACACCGCACGTTCACAATTGTAGCACGCACTGTATATTCACGCAATGCATATTTTCTGTATACTTCTACGATAATAAATCTTAGCATTTAAATATTTAAGCATCCTCAATCTCGTTGATTTAATCGAATTAATGCTTGCCGTTTCGTTAATCCTCTCTCTGTCTCTCTCTCAACCTGTTTAATCCTAATGTAATAGCCTTATCGATAGGCTTATTAACATTAATACTGGTAAAAAAGATTCTCAGCATACCCTAACGTTTTTCAGGTCAAAGTCTTTGATCAATGGCCGTAGGCGGTAGATACCAGCTTATAAATTCATCGTCGCCTCGTGACATCTTCTTTTCGCGCTTTCACGTACGGTGCATATTTCGTGACATATTTCGCGAGGCCAATTTTTAAGATACTTTTCGCGCGACGAATGAAAACATCCGCGGAGCTGTTTTCGCGGCAATCCCCGATTGCGCGAAGTAGGCCAAACGAGAGACGGACTAGCTCGAAACGAAGTCTAAACAGCGTTGCTCCCAAGCAAAAATGAGGTTAAATATGTGTGCCAGCTACCTCTGGATAACTCGGTATACTAAACGCGTATCTTTATATGGGTCAACGTATGTTGGCCCGTTGTCACCGTGATAACCACGCCGAATATTATATGGTGTTCGAGGTGGCTCTATGCAAACGAGATGACAAACACGCGTTAACAGATCTTTCTTGGTCATTCTTCTTCTAAATTTTATTAACTCGTCGCTAATTACTTCGCTAAGTATTTCGTCATCAAATCAATTAAACAGTCTATTCGTTATGGTATCGGTAAGAAAAATGGTAGCGTGACTTGGAGAACTTTTGCTCGCAATCAGTGAGAACGGTCGCCTACCTCGACCTTGGTTAACGTTACATAATATCGGTCGTTAATACAGCGACCATGCAAATCGATAATAAAGGCATCGATGAGCACGTACGTACGTAACGCAGACATCTCGAGCTACGTTACGAAAGAGTGGAAAACACGTTACGATCGTAGAACATTACCATATTTGTACGTAGTTCGACAATTATACGAAACAATCGTAATTGGAAAACTCCAATGTCATCAGCCATTGTTTTCTTTGCAGCTTTGCTTGTCATACGAGACTCGTTAAATGATTCAACTTCCAATGAACTTGTGAAACTTGTAGATGTACTGGCGATTCAACCAATTGTGTAAAATTGAAATGGGAACGATATTATTATGCGGCTATGTTAGTTACATCTACAGAAATGATGGTACCGGTGGAAAGGAAGCATTCGTAGAATATTATAAATTTGTAAAAATGATATCGCGTTGTTCGTGTGGCGTGATTTCCAAAATGAGAAGCCGCGAGCGACAAGGCGAAATCGTTTGTAAAAGGCAGGAGGGTCGTAATCAGGAAACCGATGATCGTCCCAAACGTCCGTCGGCCTGTGTCGTACGTTGGCCTGACGGTGGTATCATAATTTTCGGAAATGAGCGCCAAGATTAGAGAGAATTGACGTCATCGTCGCGACAATAAAAAGAGGGATCCGGCGTTCGTTTGTCCGTCCGTTTGCGAGGACGGTGTGCATATCACCGACAATGAATAGTCGAGAAAGCGGGATGCGGACATAAGCCGAAGAATATACAGGGTGTTCAACCGAAGTGTTACACACGTATACCGTGTCTTCGAGGAAAAAAACCAACGATATACTAGACTTGTGATAACAAAATCATCGTACCGCAAATGCATTGCATCATCTTCCAAATATCTGGGAAGAATTAATAAAATTTTAAGTATACTTATTACAAGTTCGCACCCATTAGCTCGCTATTATTCGCGAGAATTATCAATTGTTCCCAGATATTTGGAAAATGATGCAATGTACTTCCGATATAATAATTTTGTCATATTGGCACAAGTCTATTAACTCATTTTCAGAATACCTTTTGGTAAACGAAAGGTAGATAAAGAGTAATTAAATCAGTTACTTTGCATCTGCAAAATACAGCATGATTTATTCTTAACGATTATTTATATTTTTCGCTATGTGCTAAAATGAATTTTGCAGCTCTTCACATGGACCACCCTGTAGAGTTGCAGACGTAAATCTCGACCTACACACAGCGAGAAGATCACGAGCGTGGGTTGAACGTATTATTTCTCAATTAAGAAACATGAATGGCAAGTGCTTCGAATTTCTAACAAACATCCTACGAGTGAAAAATGTTGACGAATATCGATCGTCTGCTTATTATGCATGATCCTTCGTTTATTATTACGTATATGTTCATTGTTCGTCATCGCGTAGAGTTGACTTTGTAATCCACATTTGCCAATGTTCATTGGACAATTAGGATCACCTTATTATCAGATAAAAGGAACTAATATTTATGGACGCTTCGAGTAACAATCCGTTTGAACTGGCATAGTAGTTAATTGCGATGACAGTCCTGGCGTATCGCCAATTTTATGACAATCCATTTATTCGAGTTCGTTGAAATATACGAATAAGTAGGCTCAAATAAAGTGGAATAATATAACAAGGATAAATCGGTTGTTACGATAAACGGTGGGTGAATTACGATCGCAAAAAAAAAAAACATTTACCTATATTTGTTGAAATGTTATTGGAACGAATGCGAAACTGGGGGATCTTAGCTCATCGCTCTTCGTGGGGCTGTATCCGCCTGTACGTGGCATTGACAATGAATTGGCCGGATAGCTTGATGCGAACGTAAGCGTAAACGGAAGTTTGTAAAAGTCAATTCACGACGGCATCGTATCTCCTCTCGAGACACCCGCTAAAAATATTGATCCGCTCAACCTCGAATCGTGTACGTTAGAATTTAATCATCTTTTAATTGATGAAACCTACGAACGATTTCGCGTTCATTAATTTTTCAACTCGACCTTCTTTTAACCCTTAAACGACCACGCGATTTGTATTCTACGTAAAGCTCGCGATGGAATCTACAACGTACCCAGACTAAAAAATTCACGTGCCTCAGTCTTTTTAGCAAATATTAATATTAATGTGTTCGTTGGTTAGATGACGGATTACTCGACATCGTTTATAACATCGTGAGACTAAAGGTGAAACAAAAAGATCAACTCTTTTATATGTAATATCCTTCTCTCTTATCTTGTTCGACACAATAAGTTGGCACGGTTTCGCGATAATAATTGGAATAGAATTCTCAAAATCGTGGCCCCTCATTTATGAACAATCTGTACATGTACCAAAGGCTGGACGCTATTACGTACTGTGAAATAATGGGGAAAGTTCATTCGGTAAAAGGTATCGATATGACGTTATCGCGTTCGCTTATAAATATACCGGTCTAGCCGACCGCATCGGTGGGTGGTAACCGCAACTAAAACTCAGGTAACGAATGACGAGCGAAATCGTCATCGGCGTCGTCATGGTGAATCGATGACGAAGGTGCCGCTTTACGCCGGCTCGATAAGGGCGCCATATATGTATGTATGTATGCAGAACGTCTGCTATGACCAACTCCCCGACCGTGTACAAAACGTTACTCCGACAAACATCGTCAACGTTGATTAACGATAAACGAAGAAACGCGATTTCCAGACAAATATTTGTCTGTCGCATCCTTTTTCTCCGTGTAACGAAATGGGGAAAACCCGGAATTCATTGCACAAAGGTAACCTCGGTTGTCCAATGTTCGGAGCTGACGTCAGTGCAGGGTTGTTGGCGCCACTGTCCTATGACGTCATTAGGGGTGGGTTTGGGGTGGTACGCGGTGGTGGTCGAGTTTCAGAGGCGTAGGGTTCGGAAAGCAGCGATAAGAATTTTCCCGATAATCCGCGACATAGAATAAGACACTTGGATAATTCAGGCTGACGAGAGAAATATTTTTAGACTTTAATTATTGGTATAACTTCTCGGTATTCTATGTTCGGATTGGTTGCGATATTAGAGGAAAACTGTGGGCATGAAATTATATAAAGAAACGAACTTTCTCTTCGTTTTGCAATTGTCGTATCGAAACGACATCGTAAACTTGAATATACAACGCGAAGCTAGGAATGCGAGCTTGTGTGACTCGATTTCTTCGGCGTTAATTGGTCAAGTGTCGCGTGAAATGGAGACGGTAATATTGCAAAGGAGATGACTCGCGAAAATGAATTATTTGTTTTCTTCTTTGTTATCGTATTCGGTTAACAATCGCGAATCGAAGCTATAAACCACCGACGAATGTAAACGGTGTAAACTCATTGTTACGCCACTGCGTTAGGCTGTCAAACACGTGCCACCTTCAACCCTCCGGGCCTCCGCCATTTTGGTGTTGAAGTTGGGTCCCTCATCCTCTCTCGTCCATGTAATCTCACTTCGTGCTACTCCAACCGCCCTCTTAGTCTATGTTATTTTACCGATTCTTCTGGGCGAACCCAGTGGCGTAAGCCCGTGTACAAAGGACAATTGTAGAAACGAAATCTAATAGGCGCGGGAAGCTTCGCAGCTGAACAAACAACAAAAAACGCGTGTCTCTACATCGACGCGCTACGACGATATATTTTTTCGCTCGACGTTTCTGGAGTGTTTTCCGGAAAGATATCTTTACGCGTGTTCGCCCGTGAACAACGCACGTTCGAAATCTCTGGTAAATCCCGCGACAGTGGAGAAAGAAAAGAAAGTCGGAAACGTTTCTTTTTTGAATAGTTGGTCGGACGAAGTGGGCGGTTTAAGAGATTTACAATTTCTCCGTGAAGACCGCTGGAATGGCGTGTGCCATTGAATTCTCGCATCAGCTATTAAGATCGATGCTTAAAGCCGAAAGCTTTTAAAGCTTCGGAAAACGGAGCACCGAACCGAATTCTAGGACCGACCACAGGGAGTTTTTCATCGACTCGAGACAAGTTTATTGCTCGTTGCTTTACGACTTCCTACGCAACCCCGTCGCTCTTTCATCTGCGGAACAATGTAAAATGTCGAGGAGGAAGATCCAATTTCGTTGATTATCTCGTTATCGAAAATAGAGAAACGACACCAAATACAGTTGAATTTTCAAGTTTGTTTCATGAATTAAAAAACGATGGATGCGCTACGCTATTTCGCACCCAACGTGTTTGAACTTATTCAAGGTC